ACTGATGTATCCTGATCGTGGGCTATACGCTCTTGGTTGAAGGAGCATGAAATGATTTTGCTTACTTCCACCGAGAGGTATCGTATATGGCCGTAACCTCCTGCCTGGAGGGCATGTAGCCGGTGATCAGAAGCCAGCTATCTTAGGTATCAAAGGCTACAAACTAACTCGTTTTTCAGGGGCCAAAGAACCTCGTCACTGGCAGGGACAGTCTTATCGAAGATATGGACTAAGCTAGTAGTATATAATAAGAGTCTATTAGACTGAATTAATTGGAATAAGTTAATGATTTTGGCATCAATTCTTCTCTGGTCTAGTACCCCTGACTAAGTCCATTACCTATCCACACGGCTGAAATTTTTATAAGGCCAGTACCAACACTGCGGCAGTGTTGTATCAAACGGCGAGAAAAAGGCCATTTAACTTGTGCCAATAGACCATCCATGTGACGTTTCCGCTTATGGTGTTTTACCGAATACTTTTTGAGTAAGAGTATAGTGTCGGGTACATTCTCTTCTCTTCTCTCATCTAGCCCAACTAGATTCTAATACGGTCTCCTAACTCTGTATTCCTACATGCAGCTGCCCCTATATACCCAATACATGGGAGTCGTCATTGTACGTTACCATGTCATACGTGTTGGATATGTGGTGGCTGCGGAACCCTGTACTCGGGAGGTTGTGCGGCGCTCGTGGGCTACTCTGGTCTAGAGTATCCACTATTCAATAAGCTCTGGACAGGTCCGAATGAATCATACTACCTATCTACCGGTGCGATGGATGTACGTCTGTGCTTTATGAGCAGGCTGAAGAAGTTGTGTAACAGGTAAGGTTACTTTCTTGGAGCTGGCTAGCTGGCTTCTTTGGGTGTTCTGGACGGGGAGATAGGTTACACGGCACCGGGAAACACGTTACTGGTGTTAGACAAAGTTACATTATGTTGGTCATTTGCTGCTGGGATGACTCGCATGATAGGGACGTGGGGGAGGAGGGATACGATGCATGGTGTGTTGCAACCGTAAGGTGGATGCGTGGCGAGCGGTAGCACTTCGTGACAGTAGATCGAGAGCATCGGACAAAAGAAGATTCTTAAGAAGTCGAATATAGCAGCTTCAGCTCAGTCTATCTGGTATACGTCAGATTAGTAACTGTCTGGCACTTGTGCAGGTTCGGAAGCGCCGTCTGCGACCGATGGGCCTAGGTAGATGAGGTAATAGAATATTTAAAATTTTCCTTTAATCATTTCGTTCTGTCGAGGATATCGGAATATATGCAACAAGCACGGGTGATCAGCTGAAGGTCACATTGGATCCTTCCTAGTAGACGATAGTCTACCATCGGCTTACCCATTCTGGTCATTTCAGCTCTACACAGATATTAATCGGTAAGGTGGCGCGGCCGTGAAAAAACACAGAAGCGAGAAGGGTACCCGTCATAATTAATCGAAACGCAGATCGGGTACGAAGGCAAATTCCAATTAGCGTTATTCCCAAAGTAAAACAACATTCGCAAAAGCGCGTGAGACGTGAGGCACATTATCTCTTTCCAGTCCACCAGTAAACGCCACCAACTTAACCGCGAGCCGAGTCAGATCATGAACTCGGGCTTGGTATCAACCATAACATAAGATAACGCGGAAACGAATGCAACCAACACAACATATAACAGATTAACAGATCATCATAGGCTCTCCTTGCCCGGGTATAGCCGGAGCCCCCTCGCTTCGCTCTTCTTCCATCATGTCGATGAGGTCATCCAAGTTGGAATCCAAGTTCTCTGCAGCCTCCTGATCCAGACATTCCTTGAGTAGTCGTCGGTACTTGTCAATCTTCTCGCCGGTGCCGGACACCCCTAAAGCGTCGACGTACTCTTTCTCTGCGCGTCGCTGCTCTGCGACGAGCTCCCTTAGCTCCTGGGCAAGTTTAACTCGCTCTTCGTACGAATTGTCACCGGTGTCACCATTCATCATCGATATGGCTTGTTCGACGGAAGAATGCACATAATATCGGCTCTGGCCTGCCAATAACGATGTGACTTGTTGCTGTAGGATAGTAGCTTCGCCAACGACCTTTGACGCCGCCTCGGGAGATTCCAACTGACTGTCTAGTTCGGCAATTTGCGCTCTGACGACAGCAAGCTCGTTTTGTGTATTTGCGAGAATACGACGAGCCTCCATTTCGGCCTCGTTCTTTTCCTTCCATTCCTCATCGTAACTATGGGCGAGATCCTGGAATTTCTCCAGGACAAGCGGTGTTATCTTATTCTGGACTGTATTTGCTGCTTCCGAGTTATAAGTGACAGCTAGCTTAGAAACGGATTCTGTGATGGCGTCGCGGAAGGAGACATGTCGTTGAGAGTCAGGTGCAAAGGGGGATGAGGATCGCTGAGGCACGCGCTCCTTTGGATTCTTCGTAGCATTTAATTCCTTGATCAGATCCTCTGCGCGAATTCCTTCTGCGTTGGGAATGTCCGTGGAGGCGCCCCGGCCAAGAAGGGCTCGTATACATTTACGAGCGTTCGTCTTTGCCGCCAAATGGAGAGCGGTATTACCGCCATGATCTTGGGTGTCGATAAGGTGCTGAACGAAGTTGGGCTCATGAGTTTCCTGGAGCTTGTTTAGAATATTATCGAGATAGTAACGGCAGCACGAAGTACTCGTGATCCGACCACTCTTCATTATTGCCGCGTGATGAATCACTGTACAACCCGAATCGTCGCGCGCGTCAACAGTATCCCACAGTTCCTTCATAACTTGAGGGAAAGTTTGCTTCTCGTAACAATTGGTAAAGTTCACGGATCGCATGAACGGAGTCTCGCCCTTGCAATTTTGAACTCCCAAAGTAGCCCCGAATCGCTTTAGCTGCTTGATGACATCCACATCGCCCATAGCGCTGGCCCAATGGAGGGCAGTATGCTTCTCTGTATCGATCGGCCAGTCGGGTTGGAAATTAGGAGGAGGCTCGGGACGGAAATTGGGTGCCTCGTTACGAGATAGGAGGAAGTAATCCAATAGTTCATCACCATAGACCGAATGTTGCTGCTCAGTGAGGTCTTGTATATTATCTTCTCGTTTTCTCTTCCGGTGTCCGGTCGAATAATGTGATAAATCATGGCGATCGTCTTCTGCTATGTATGAAACTGAAGCAACAGTGACGTTGTCCGGCGTATCATCTTCGTTTAGCTGTTGGCTGGCAGTCTCAAGTTCTTGGGGCGGCGGGGCACCTATGACATATTAGTAGTTGTTCGGCGATAAAGTAGTTGAAGCATCATACCCCATTTTGGCACTGCCGGCTTTCTAGGGGCCTTTGGCTTGCTTGCATGCCGAGGCGCTGGGGGTGGGCTCTGATTTCCGGGAACGAACTCGAAGATGGGTCGAAGGCGCTCGAAGATGTTGTTTCGTTGCGCAAGTTGTTCTCCGGCTTCTAAAGGAATCCATGTGCCCTGATATTTTCCATATCCACCCTGGATCTTCTCGTGGACGTCTTTTTGTACCTCGCGCTCGAGGATTCTCGTACGGGCGGGCTTGTCGAATCCTGCTGCTTTGAGGATGTGTGTCGCATTGACCCAGTCATCTTGCCGCCGGCGCATTACATGCTCCTTATTATCACCACCAAACTGGAACTCGTATACGGGCACCTGTTATCAGACTTGTAAGTAAGATACCCGAACTAAGAAAGCTGTGTAGTCGTATGAAAGGGTATGTTTTATTATGTTGTAGATTAGCAATGCGACTCAAGAGAAAGCTACTTACACCACTATATGTGGCACTGTAAATACCAGCAGCAGCAATAGTGCCAGCGACAGCACTGGGAGCATCTTTTACCATGTTTGCTGCTTGGACCCAATTAGGGTCGAACGAAGGGTATGAGTAAAGTGGCGATAGCGATAGCGATAGAAAGGGATATGAAGAATATGATATGACGAGGGTATGGAGGTGAATATAAAATTACCGGTGCGCAAACAAATTAGGAAGACAAGGACACAATTTACAATGATATACTGCGCAGTCATGAGAGAGAGAGGTAGTTTGGGTAGTTGGATCTGCAGAGGTGATTGGCAGCCAGGGTTAGGCTGATGGTGGGTGATGATTTTGTGAAAGTTGCTGCAACTTTTGGACGCGGAGACGCGAAATCAAGTAAAAGAGCATGGGGGGGGGGAACGACGCGGTACGGGTGTACCCTACACGCGTAAATTGGATAGAAGGTCACCTGACAGTTTAAACGGGTACGAAATTAGGTACATACATGTAGTGCTGGCCATGTACCTTAGATCCGGTAAGCCCTTATGTAAGCGGTCTATATGTATCTCAAGTGACGTATGAAGTACCTCGGTACTTGACTGTGCATTTCTGTTAAACTTTTAAACTGTCGGGAATCCCTACATACATCAATGTGTGTGTCGCTACTCTTGATTGGAATGGTCACTTTTATTTCTTCGAGTAAATATGGATTGCTTTTTCAATCTTCAAGACGTCCACTCATTCGTCTGCTCTTACCGGTATATTGGTATCCAATGCTCCCCTCTCTTGTTAATCACTTACCATTGTTTCGTATAAAACACATTGTTCAAATGCAAATAGTGTTGATCACCCCCAAATGCATTTTTTAATTTGATATTTCAGTTGGTCCCCATCCAACCTGTCTTTTCCCTTGTTAGAATCTTTTTCACAATTCTAGTGTGATATCTACCTACCTAGGCATAGAATCGAAACCAGGTAATTATTTACAAGTCTACCTATATATCTACTAGGCTTAGCTATATGCGTACTGTTCCTATTCTAGTATCCCTACAGAGCTTCTCTGATATTCTCTTTTCCACGTCTTCTCTGTCTTCCCTGCAGACTTATAAGGATCTCAATCGTACTGGCTAGGAACGGCAATGGTCAAATCTATTTCGCTTCAGACGCTTGCGGGCAGCGTCAAATATGCCTATGGAACTATTGTGGATCTTCTCGTCAACCTGAGAAAGCTGGTCCCTTTGGCTAGGGCTAGCCTGCTGCCTGTGGTCGCAGAATGATTAACCGCAAATGAGGTTGTTAGAAAGCTGGGAGTACTATTAGTTCCAAGAGGAACTACGGGCTCTTATGCGGCATATAGAAGTTACAACGAGCAAGTCGAAGACCTCGAGCCCTGTTTTGAGGTCGTTCTTCACGTTATATCGGAAATACTCGTCGACATCGATTACCAAACTACACGTTTACGCCGCTATAATACTTGGGGGGGGGTCCTCTTGTATCTTCTAAAGTGGACCCGGCTATACAAGACTTCTTTATAGATGCTAGGTTTTGCTTACATACGAAGAAGCCGGTCCTCCCTGTGTCTCACGGTCGACTGTCTTCAGAGGTAATAGAACCAAGCTCTCAAGTTTTGGCTATCGTAGAAGAGTTGATTAACATGATATACAGAGGAAATTTATCACGGGCGACTATTCAACTCGTAGACCAAACATTTCCGCCACACCCTTCGTTCGCGAAAGCAGCAGAATCTTCAAGGTTACAGCCTTTGGTAGCGATTGAGCTGCATAAGATATCGAGACAAGTAGATGTACGGTCGCTTCTGACTAAGTATCGACCCGAGAGCCTACGCTCCCGCAAGAATGATTACAGCCTCATTCGCATGCTACATCGTGAAATCATCAGGTGCGACTATAGTGCCGTACATAGATGTCTTTTGGCGAACACAATCCCGGATACTCCTCTAGAAGAATCGGGGGTTGTACCAATTCACCGAGACCTAGACCAAATCGAAGCGTCGCTTGTTTCGGAAAATAAGACAGGCACAAGGGCGTCGAATTCGATCGTGATGGCCTTAATTATCGCGGGCGCTAGCCTCAACGTGCGAGACGAAAACGGTCGGACTCCCCTCATACGAGCTGCTACGAACGAATTGACCGACCCTATAATATCGCTGATGTTGGAATTCGGAGCTTCTGTCCAGACCAAAGACAGGTAAAGGAACATAGCTCTTCGCCATGCGGCGATGAAGGCTCCTTCAGAAGAAATGGGCAATATTAATACTATCAGGGCCTTGCTAGCCCATGGCGCCGACTAAAGCCTTAGGAACAAGAGGGGGCGCGCCCCTTTACATAGAGCCGTCTTGTTTAAGTACTTCGAACGCGCTCGGGAGCTCTTGGATTACGGAGCCGACTTAGAAATAACGGATAATAATGGGTGGACCCCCTTACTTTGTGCAGTCACCAAAGGGAATTCGGTATTGACAAAGCTTCTACATATGTGACCGGGGCGCTATTGTTGACAAGAAAGATAAAAATGGACACACTGCCCTTCACTACGCCATCTCCCTAGGACCCGAGGAAATCTCTAAGGTTTTGCTAGATCATCTCCAAAGGTGAAACTCCGCTCTGTCGAGCAGCGTCCAAGTCAAACCTGTTACTTGTTAAACTCCTTCTAGCATATGGTGCCGACGTTAATCTGGCATCACCTGGCTATTACGGTGCTCTGCCAGTACACGTTGCTGCTATGGGGAGAGATGTGGCTATTACTGAAGCTCTCCTAGGGGCAGGATCCCTGATTAATGCCGTGGACGACGAGTGCCGCACGCCATTAAGGTTGACAATGGACGGCGGAAAGAATGAGTCGGTGCATTTTCTGATGAGCAAGGGGGCAGTAAAGTGACTTTCCTTCTATAACGTTATAAATAGCACGTAAGTTGTAGACCTAGATATTTTTGTGTCTAGCTGCAAGGCTTCTCTTTTGGAGGTTTGATCTAACATTATCTGGGTGCGTACCGGATGTTATAATTCAGATCACACTTAATGGTAAGCCAATCACAAGAGTCAGATGGTCCCGATTGGGAATATCTACATGTTCGGACGGACTATGACGTAAATTATTTACTATTTGGCTTGGTACCTAATTATTCGGGCATAAGACTGGAATTATCTCCGTGATAATCTGAATGACCTCTGTTATACGGTATTGTATTGCGGTAATATTAGGGGGCTTTTATAGCAATCTAGCAGCAGTATGAATATATATCAGAATTGCATATGCTTACCTCCTACCATATACCTGTCAGTCTACGCTTCTATATATGTACCTTAGCCAGGTTATGCACCTACTCACATTCTACTAGAGTTACATATATAGTTAGTACATGGTTATGAGGTATCTTATAGTTTAGGTATATGTACCTATTAGTAAACTTTACCTTGCATGCACGTTAATGGCAGCTATAGCTACCCCGCTCGTTCTTCAGTTTTGGTGGCGCGATATACAAGACCGGCGACGCAAGCGAAAGCACGTCAATATAATAGATCTATCATTTTTTTTTCTTATCCTGTTATTGTCTTCCCCGCTCTTTATCTCCTTACTCCGAATCGGCATTCCTAGGTTCAGCACTTTACGAGAATACGCTCCGTATAAATATAGACTGCTTTTCTCCCGAGGTTATTGTATAAAGATTGGCATAGGCCGAACAATTCGGTATATTATAACAGCTTGAGATTTATTTGTACTGCTTAGACGGTAACAGGAAAAGTTCAATATGCCTTTAATCGCCTCTGCACCACGAGGCCGCATCATCCTAGGTCTGATGACCTTTGGACCCGATGAGAAAGCTGGTGCTCGGATTACCGACATCAACGAGTTCAACAGGGTACTCGATACCTTCCAGTCCCGTGGCTACAATGAGGTTGACACGGCTCGAGTCTACATTGCCAGCCAGCAGGAGGCCTTCACCCGACAAACAAAGTGGAAGGAGCGCGGTCTCACGCTGGCTACCAAGTTCAAGTATCCTTCTGAGGCCGGCGCTAATCAGGCTGCTAAGGTAGTCGAGAGTTTGGAGACGAGTCTCAAAGAGCTGGGGACTGATAGCGTAGATGTAAGTCTGGAGTCTGTCTCCTATTCTAGCTCGACTTATAACCCTTATAAATCTTATAAGTTATCTTGTTGTACGTCTGTTTCTTTAAGCTGACACTAAAGGCTATATAGATCATCTACCTCCACGCAGCCGATCGTGCGACACCCTTCGCTGAGACGCTTGAAGCAGTAGACAAGCTACACAAGGCGGGCAAATTCGTACGATTCGGCATTTCTAACTTTACAGCTGCGGAGGTGGCCGAGGTGGTTCTGACTTGCAAGTACAATAATTGGGTACGGCCGACCGTCTACCAGGGCATGTACAACGCTATCACGCGGGGTATTGAGCCGGAGCTGATTCCGGCATGTCGGCGGTACGGGCTAGACATCGTAGTATACAACCCGATCGCCGGCGGCTTGTTCAGCGGTAAAATTAAGAGCGTAGATATCGACCCAGCCGATTTCAGCCGTTTCAGCACAAAAGCCAGCACGGGTGCCAACTACCGTCAACGATACTTCAAGGAGAGCACGTTCAAGGCCCTGCAGACGATAGAGAAAGCAATCGAGAAACACGCTGGATTAACGCTGATCGAGGTGGCGCTGCGGTGGGTAGTGCACCACAGTCAGCTCAAGATTAACGGCGGCAACGACGGTATCCTGATCGGAATCAGCTCTCACGACCAGCTCGTGAGCAATCTGGATAACTTGGAGAAAGGTCCGCTTCCAGAGGATGTGGTGGTGGCGCTAGATGAGGCATGGATGATTGCAAAAGCGGACGCGCCCAACTACTGGCATAAGGACCTCGTGTACACGTACGATACACGAGAGGCGCTGTTCGGAGCCGATGCGAAGTAAGTGCATAAAAGAGAGGCATGACAGGTTGATTCTTATATGCAAATGTAGGTCTAAAGAGGTACACGTAGCATGCCTGAATTCCGAAACTTGATACTTGATAAGGTAGTGTTACCGCACGAAGGCACATGTGATTATGTGCATAGGTATATTGAATATCGTATGTTTATATGTGTATATATGTAGGTAGTGCGACATTTTCCAGTGACGGGAATTACCTACATATGTACCTAATGTACCTAGGTTATGTACCTACCTAAAGTAACATTGAATGTAGCAAGGTAACACGACAGGCTGGTTCAGCCCTGCCGCCGGGATATGTACCTTAGGTATCTAAATACCTAACGGCACCTAAAGTACCCGGGCCAATAAGGGCCAAGATTACCGCAACGGATCTTCATAAAAGACAACGACGAGAGCAGCAGGGGATACATGTGTTAGCGTGCCCCCCTGACCGCTTACTGCCCTTAGCGACCCAACCGCTACTGAATTCCGCACTTTTGGGTGTGTCACTTGATGATTTCTATCTGCAACTAACATTTGTCTATTTGTCCCATTTGATACCTACCTACCTACCTATGTAATGCATACGGGAATTTTTTTACTTTGACGAATCAGGATCCTGACCTTAAGTCTCTCTTCTGCAGCAGCTGCATAACCTACGTAAAGAATAGGATTAGCTACATTGTACCTATATTTCTTTACTTACCAAGTACCTAATCCTCTCTCCGTACCGTGCCGTAAGAGGTAACCTTCAATTCTCACCTAATCACCCTCGCGTTCTTTTTTTAAATTATTTTTTATTCTTTAATGTCTTCGAAGCCAAGCAATATTCGCTTGTCCAGCATACCGGCTCGCTTAAAACCGACGTCGCAATATTCGAAAGCCGAACCATCACCGCTGTTATCCGCCAGTTCCTTCGGGTCCAGCGTTGAAGATTACATCGGAAGTGGCACCGACACCGTAGGAGGTAGAACCCCGGTCTTCGGCAGGCGATTATCTTTCGTCCAGGAAGACGACGAGGCCTCGGATATCACACATCTTCGTAGCCCTCATAGATTCGATATAGACTACTCTGAATACTCGGACGACGACGACGGTACCATGCCCGACAGCGCCAAACGACCAGCATTCCTCCGTCCGTCTGACGGTCGATCTGCTACACCGCTTCTAAAGAAATCAGACGACGATGATCGCGGTAGGACACGATATAACAACTCGCGGCCGACATCACCTCTCCCGATACCCGCTGTTTCTACACCAGCCTCCGACCGACCAACCTTTAGCCGCCGCTCCACCATGAGATCTCGGTCTCCGGATACCCAAGCGCGGATGGCAGTGCGCAAGAAGTACACGTATGCAGCCATCTTCCTGGCCGTCTCGTTAGTATCCTTCTGCGTGCAGACGGAGCTGGGACGGTACGTGCAGCACGAGCTTGGTTGGGACAAGGCTTACTGCATGTTATATCTTACACACGGGTCGTGGGCCTTACTTTGGCCCGCCCAACTACTTATCCTACGGGTGCAAAAGTGGAACGTGCCGTGGCCAACCTTCTGGAGACGGCACGTCTACTTGTTGCGCTCAACAGCGCATATGGTCGCACATCAGGAACTCGACATCCCCCGGCATGTTGTCCAGCGCAGTCCAATACCCTACATCTTGCGCACCACTGCGTTTGTTACCACTTCTTTAACAGTCGCAGGCCTAACTTGGTACGTTGCCGTCAGCATGACTACCCCCAGCGACTTAACTGCCATCTATAACTGTTCTGCATTCTTCGCCTACGCTTTCAGCGTACCCCTACTGAAGGAGAAGTTGCGCCTCGACAAGTCGGTTGCGGTGCTGATCGCCATTGTTGGCGTCATGGTTGTTGCCTATGGCGACTCTAAATCTGGCGCGGGAGTTGATAAAGAAGCAGAAACTGAGGCTGGCACGCGATTACTCGGCAACATGATCATCGGCGTGGGGAGCGTGCTGTACGGGCTCTATGAGGTGTTATATAAGCGATACGCTTGCCCACCCGAGGGTACGTCGGCAACGCGGGGCATGATCTTCGCCAATGCGTTTGGAAGTTGTATCGGGGCCTTCACACTTTTGGTGCTATGGATTCCTTTGCCGATTCTCCATATTCTCGGCTGGGAAACCTTTGAGCTGCCCACTGGCGCGGCGGCATTCTATCTCTTCGTGTCGGTGATCATGAATGCGACATTTGCAGGCAGCTTCCTAGTGCTAATCTCATTAACGAGTCCCGTGTTGAGTAGTGTTGCTGCGCTGCTGACAATTTTCATCGTGGCACTGGCTGACTGGATTATCACGGGAGAGGGTATGAGTCCATCAGCTCTAAGCGGTGGGTGCCTGATCGTGGTAGCATTCGTGATGCTAAGCTGGAGCACCTGGCGCGAAATGACAGAAGACGCAGAGCGCAAGGCGGCTGTGGATGTTGCCGGTCCGATCGACTGGAGTAGTGAGGACAGCGATAAGGATGCTAGCCGGTTGGATTAGGATGAGAATTCCCAGCTCACGTAGACGGCTGTGCGTTACTTTTGTTCGCAAGTTTATTCGTATTATTCTTATTCTTGTTCTTATTGATGTTTAGTCTGGATTTTTTGTTTAAAAGATTTCTTCCAACATCGTTCCATCTTCTCTCTGGTTCAGGTTGTACTGTATTATGGCATATCCATCGGAATATAGGGGTTACATTGTCCCGGATGGAACAAACTCATAGGCTGTATCCTGGAGGGGGGAACAATCGGATTAGAGCGATATTAGACATAGCACTTTGCATCTTTCCCACTATGTCTATGAGGATTTGGGGATTACCTAGAGCAATTTGGCTATTCTAGACGATGGAAGATGTGGATTTATCGGTGCCGTTACCGCGCATATATAAACGTGTCTGCTGTTTCGGCGTTTGGTGGCACCTTGGTCTCGGTCTTGATCTCGGTTGGTGTTTTAGGCTGGGTAAGGATGAATAGTCATGACCGGTTATAGAGGTGGTGGAACGACGCCTACATTAGGTACCTTACCTGGGTAAATATATAAGTCTCGTGCGCACGGTTAATGTATCTATCACATCTATTGCATAGGAGCCCGGTGCACTGGCTCGGTTATGCGGATAAATAGGCACCTATAGAATACCTATATAGAAGGCGGCTTAAAAAGGCGCTTATCGACTTATTGTCATATCATATTAGAGGATGGTATACTTGAATACGAAAATAAAACATCCTGAGGCTTTTCAAGCGCGAGTTTTTTTTGTTTAAAAAAACATTGCCATCTTTGCTTTTATACAAGTTTAATAGTTCTTTCCTTGTAACCTCGTGTCTACTGGCGATCCTGTATCGTTCTAAGCTGTATCTTTGTTGTAGGAGTATAGTACATGTGTATTTAAGTATTTGAAAGGCACTATTCTAAAAAGTTTTATGCATAGAACACGCACCCGTTGTAAAAGAGGGGTTCCCATTTATTATCCGAGATCAAGCTATTGAAGGATATGGTTATTGGTTTCCGTCGTGGATGATGGGCGGCTGGGTGTTGTGCATATACAACCATAGGCTGGAGAACGGCAGGTGAGCGACACCATTAAAGGCGAACCGCCTTAGCGATCCCTGACTTGTGTCTCGTCAGCAGACTATATATATCCATACTTATTTGTGTCTACGAAGCCTGATTGTCTCTTGGCAGATACGCTATGTACTCAAGGATGAAAATCATAAGAGATGAAGGAAAACAATTATACTGACAAAACTGGTTCTCCCAAGGAAGTTGGTGGTCCGACATGACCATCAACCTCCCGGTCTGTATTGGGGCAATTTCCCTCTTCGTCCTCCTTGACAAAAACGCCTGGCCGTTCTACCTTCCAGCCTTTAGCGCCACTGCGCTCGATGAATTGTACCGCCATATCCCAGGCTTCGTGGTCTGCCGCGTCGCCGCTCTCGAAAACTCGTAGCGATGCCCAGTTTCTTGGGTACACTACGGGGTCGGCGGCAAAGGTAAGCTCGCGCATCAGGGAGCTGTATGCTGTATTGCGCTCCATCCAGAGGTCTGCCGGGTCTATGTGCTTCATTTCATCTTCTGCCTCTAAGATCCGGTTTTCAGGCCCGGGGGTCAACTGCACAAAGAGACGGTCAAGCTTGGGTAGGTTCTGGAGTAGGATCTCAAAGTGAGATGATAACGGAAATATGGCGATGTAATTGAAGTCAACGATAGTAGGCGGTATAAGCGGGGTGTCGTTAGGGTGTTCCTCGCATCCAAGGAGGGCCCCAAGCATGGACGGTGGTCGCCGCAGAAAGAACTCATATGTTCGATAAACCCTAGTAGACGATCCTTCATTCAGGAGTAGCGAGGTCCAAGGACGAACGGTGAAAAGCGGACACGGCGGTGGTCTTCTATAGCGGATCGAACACGAGGTGGCGGGGGGGCCTGCTGAAGCTACCTGGGTCGTTGACGTAGAAGGATGGTGCTGTGACGAAGAGGGATGAGTATCCGAGTTAGATGATTCTGTATGCGTACTCGACTTGCCACGTGAATCTCTAGTAGTTCGGGCAAGTGAAAGAATATGATACGGAATGCTAAACGACCAGGCGTCGTCTAAGAAGAGCATACGGGATAAGAACGAAGCGAGAGTATTAGGAGGAGTAATGATGGTGAACCTTAGAGGGTCGATGACGGAGAACAACTGGTCCCATAACCATTCCAGATCAACAGAGCGTATCTCAGGAGTGATTTGCTTGGCACTAGCATCTCTATCTACGAAGTCGACGATCATAGTAAAAGTCGCAACGCTGCGGTCCAGCCGATTATCTTCCAGAAAGCGTAGAAGTGGTATCGGGTTCAATGTGAAAGCGCTGAGCGAGGATATCTTGGGTCTCCATAAGATATGACGGAATAGGCTAGGAAGCACAAGAGATCGCCAAGTCCTGCAAACGAAGGACACAGTCTTGAGCGATTGCGAATATAAAGACATAGTATCCAGCATGTCGTCGCTCGGTTGCTCGCGAAGCCGCACTTGCGACGGAGCCAAGTCATCGAGGAACTCGAAGACATGTAAAAGGATCTCTGGTGGTATACGATCCATCTCGATTGACAGAAAACTCCAAGTTATACTTCCAAACGGGATAATTATCCTTTTCCTTCCTCCTAAACAGTTGGACTGTCTCAAGCTGCTTCTATAGGAATAGCCAATTGAGCGCTACTAATAGCATACCTTTGGCCTCTAACGGATATCATATAAAGACTCTTGGTATTTGTGTTGATGCTGACATGTAAACAGGATGGAGATAGTAAGCTGAAGTCTCGTTGAGGCTGAATAACTCTTCTCATTTGATGATGTCTAAGTTACGGATATAGTCGTCGGGATTCGGGCCAAGTCAAGTCAGTTGGGGGGGCAGATAAGGGGGAGGGGCTATACTCGAGAATATAATTGCTATGGATAACTACATAGCTATATCTCAAAGTTGCATTTTAGGGCATTGGGCTAAAAAAAGAGTTTAATGGCATGTGTTCCTTAGTTTCTGGAGGGAGGTAACTTGCTGACGAAATAAGAAGACTTAACTACATATAACAAGCTTACTAGTTATATATAGCGTTAGTTCTTAAAATTGTAGCAACTACTTCGTAGCTCTAATGCCAACAAAACGTCATATTGCAAGTCCTGAGATTAACCAATACTTTATATTCTACTGGGTAGGTTAAGCAGCTCGAATTGGATTTTGAAAAGATAAACTGCTGCTCTCTCAAGGCCCGGTATATTCATTTTATTATGAAGGGCAATGATTAAGTTCTAACATGGTGTATCCAGCCTTCCCATACTCCGGGAGCTGGCCTGAGAAAATTATCCGAACGTTTAAATAATAATATTTGGAAAGGTCATATGGGAGGTTCAAGGTGACCCTAGCATCCTACACTACCACTACCACTACCACTACCACATATGCCAGGCTCTTTTATCCTAGATCATTTCATATTATCGGGACCGAAGCAAATTATATATCGCTTTTATACCTTAATATTTCCTGGTATAGGTTACTAACCTAGTGAGGTAGAATATATATTATGTAGTTCATGATCACACGAGCCATCACGTTGTATTATTTACATAAAACACCCCGTGCGCTTTAGCTGAGAAGCCTCAACGTTTACCCACCGGCGTAGCATGCTCATGTGTACCTAGGACGTACGCGTAAAGTCAGCATTGACAAAGGCGGGGGAGTGCAGGGGTTATACGATTGTTGAATATCAAATCGTGGAGAATCGGGGAAATTATGGATATCTAAAGGACGGCAATGCGAAAACCGAATCAGAATGCGGTGATGGGCCTTCTCGTAGCGCCTTTTACAATAGACCTGCCGTGGCTTCTTCTCTATCAGCCGAACATTTTCAATTCCACTAACCCGGATGCAGTAAATCAAGCCGCAATGTTGCTATTAAGACGCACATTATGTCGATACTTTTTAGCATCAATGGGTCCTTAGCCTTATACCCCTCAGAAACGAACCCCTCTTATGTAGTTTTGATGTAGTTTTGACTTGGATCCTACCACGATACCCCTTATTCACTCCGCACTCACCCTCTAGTTGACCTGGGTATGCTAGGGAGGGATTGAACCATCCCCCGCTCGAACTTGGCAATGTGGCAATGGGAAAGAGGTATAGATAAATGGGATGACGTCTAGCTTCTTCCTTAGTTGTTTCTCTTTTCTATTGTTTCTGGTAGTTATCCTTGTAAACTTCCGACGTAGATAGTAGGTAAAAAGGAAAGCTACCCTCATCTTCCACCTCCCCTCTGCCACACAGAATCTAGTAGGACGTTGAATAAATATCTCGACCTTGACCACCATCAACCGATATGCCGGCCAACAAGCAGCCACCGCCGTTCCGTGCAGAGCATCTGGGCTCACTACTCCGCCCGCAAGAGCTCACCGAGAAGCGTCTTAAGCTCTCCGACGTAAAGGCTATCGATGTTGCTAAGGACGGGGAGTTGCACGCCATCGAGGATAAAGCCATTGATGAGATTGTCAAACTGCAGCTAGACCTCGGGTTCCATGCTATCAACGATGGCGAGTATCGACGACATCAATTCTGGGGAACCTTCTTCCCTAACCTTGAGGGATTTGAGGAGATCATGGAACCGGAGTGGGATATGTTCCGGCTGTACGTCCCTGACACTGCCGCGTTTAGTGAGTCTCCCTGTTGTAGCTGATGGTAATATTTGTTATAATCATTGGACATGCAAGCTAATCCCTTACATCGTTTAGCTGAAAAGGGCCATAAGCCCGGCGAAACAATTGTTTGCGTTGGCAAAATTAAGCATGTCGGAAGTGCATACCTGTCCGACTGGAACTATCTTAAGAAATTAGTCCCTGTCGACAGAGTGAAGGATTTGAAGATAACGCTCGCCGCCCCCGAATGGTAGGCCTTTCTATCCAACATCCGTGGCACATTGTTAGGTTAACTCTTCGTAGGTATCATCTGAGATACAAGAAGGGCAGAGCGTATCCAAAGGAAGTGTACGCTAACGACGAGGAGTACTTTGCCGATATTGCCAAAGCCTACCAAACTGTAAGTCAATTCCCCAAGTTCCTCGCCTTAACGCGCTCTTATTCTTATTCTGTTATATTATGCATTTGCCTCTTTGATATTTATGACGGCTTCGTCACATATTACATGAGTTGATGTTGATCCTGAATGCTACAGGAGTTGCAGCTTCTATATGACAACGGTTGCCGAAACGTGACCATTGACGACCCGAATTTGGCTTGTGAGTGAGACCTTCAATGCTTATTATACCGACAAGGAAACGTTGACAAGAGCTGGAATTGCAGACTTTTGCGACGAGAAGATGCTGGCTGGCTTCAAGGCGGATGGGGAGGATTCTGATGTTCTCCTCGACTCGTATATCAAATTATACAATGACTGTGTATCGTCTCGCCCGGCTGACATGCACCTGGGCATCCACCTCTGTAGGGGTAACTTCGCATACAGTAAACACTTCTCAGAGGGAGGATACGATCGAATTGCAACGAAGCTCTTTAACAACATCGACGCCGACACTTACTTCTTAGAATACGACACGGAGCGGGCAGGTAATTTTGAGCCTTTGAAGGAGCTGCCACCGCATAAAAATGTCGTTCTAGGCGTCATCACTAGCAAGTTCCCCGAGCTCGAGGACATTGATGAGACACGCAGTAGGGTATTCCAAGCAGCTGATATCATCGCGAGCGGCGCTGGTCAGACGCGTGAGGAAGCGCTTAAGAGAATCGGCGTCAGTCCTCAATGCGGGTTCGCTAGCCACCACCTTGGCAACGCCGTGACGCGAGACGACATGATTGCAAAACTAAAGCTAGTCAGAAAGCTCGCTGATACGATCTGGCCGGGTGAGCCATAGAGAGAAATGGTATGCATATTATATATACGGTGATGATGCTTGAATAGAGTCGAGTAGAGTCGAAATTATGTATTCAACATGCAGATTTGGAGCGGGAAAGGGAAGTTTGACAGCGAGCAGTTGAGAACTAGAACAAACACCACAAAAGAACAAAAAAAAACCCCGACATCGGGTTTCTTATAACTTGATAGGCGTGATTAATTTGTATACATGCAACGTGCCACGAAGCATGAGTGCTGTAATGAAATATGATAGACTGGCGCCTTTATGCTTCGGAAGGGACACAATATGAATAGAAAACGACCCACGGCGTGGTGATACGAATTTAGGGAGTCCGATGATAGGTAAAAAAAATTGCGTGAAACTTGAAGTTGTGGGCTTGTCTAATTTCTACAGGATTACCAACGTAGACGCCTCTATTCGTCAGACTTGATATGTTGGTCCCCGTCCTTGGCAAATGGGGCTGAGCTGGTCTTTAGGGGTACATAGCAGGGGTTTGCCTAGCTGAAAGGGCCAGCGAATTGTGCGTCGAATGCACCGTAATGCCCACTAAAACATCATCAAATGGAATTATGAAGCTTGTCGGCTTACCGCCTTGAGATCTCCATAGTCGATATTACTGTTCCTAATTCATTTTTGTTTTTTTCGCTTCCACCAAAATATACCTTCATCCTTTCGCACGCTCTCTATCACCATGCCGGAAAAGAAGGCAGAAGTACCCCCTAATGAGTCCATTACTTTTAGCTCCGGGGTTCACGATGGACCTCCGGACTTGAGACTTCTCCATTACAATGATGTCTACCACGTCGACCAATCCAGTAGCGAACCGGTAGGAGGTGCCGCTCGATTCATGTCGCTCATAAAACATTATGAGGAGAATGAGAAATTCAAGGAGCAGCCAGAGTTGGTAACACTATTCTCCGGTGACGCCTTCAATCCGAGTCTAGAGAGTTCCGTTACGAAAGGTATGCCTTACATACGATGAGCTTACCGAGCTTACAAGCTCGAGTGAATGCGGACGCATATCTCATTTCTCATAATGAACTCTGTCCTTTTGAAACCAATGCGCCGACTTTCATGGATTAAGAAGTTTTCCACTTTGAGTTTAGTTGCTATGTACTTTGAAGATCATAGGCTAATATATGAAATTTGGTAGGTGATCACATGGTGCCTTTATTAAACAACATAGGGACAAATGCTGCAGCAATAGGAGTATGTATCAAAGCCAATACTTCCTCTCATAGCATCAGCTGCTTATGTGATGAGTAGAATCACGATCTTGACTTTGGAGTCTCTCAATTCAAGCACCTTTCCTCCAAGTGCAAGTTTCCATGGCTCATCGCGAACGTATTGGATCCCGCGCTGGGAGACTCGGTTCCTATCGGAAATTGCAAAAAGACTCATATAATCACCTCATCGAATGGTATCAAGATTGGGTTGATCGGGCTAGGCGAACGCGAATGGTTGGCTACAATTAACAGTCTACCTCCTAACCTCATCTACAAATCCGCCACCCAAACCGCAAAGGAGCTTGTCCCACGATTGCGAGCCGAGGGGGTCGACATCGTCATCGCCATAACGCACATGCGAGAGCCGAATGATAACAAATTAGCCGAGCAGACCGATGGAATCATTGATATTATTCTTGGAGGCCATGACCACTACTATAGTCATAGCCTCATAAAGGGAACGCATGTCTTACGTTCAGGAACCGATTTTAAGCAGATGAGCTATATCGAAGCCAGGCGACGGACTGACGACTCGGGTAGATGGGACTTCGATATCGTACGGCGAGACATCACGTCTGCGATCCCCGAGCATCAGCCGACTGTTGAGCTCGTCGAAAAGCTGACTGCAAGTCTCAAGGCGACACTTCAGAAGCCTATCGGCTACACTGCTGCGCCCCTCGATGCTAGATTCCGGACGGTGAGGTTAAGGGAGAGCAATATCGCTAATTGGGTGTGCGACATCATGCGCCATTACTACTCAGGCGATTGTAGCATTATGGCGTCGGGGACTGTCCGTGGCGACCAAGTCTACCCCCCAGGACCATTACTACTAAAAGATATTGTACGCAACTCCTGAAACTCAAACTTGATCTATTTTCCATCTGGACGTTCGGCAAATAGCTAACACATGCTGCAATAGATGAATTGTTTCCCATTCGAGGATCCTGTCGTGGTAATTAAGGTTACAGGCCAAGCTATTTGGGACGCTTTGGAGAACGGTTTATCACAATACCCGGCTCTCGAGGGCCGTTTCCCGCAGGTCTCTAACATTACTTTCAAATTCGATGGCCAAAAACCCACAGGCTCGCGCATAGTGACAGCGACGATCGGCGGGGAGCCGATAGATATGGCCAGGAAGTACGTACTAGTAACCCGAGGCTACATGGCTCGCGGTAAGGATGGTTACGATAGCCTCTTGATAGAGGAGGAAGGGGGCAAAGCTGAGGAGATTGTCTCCGAAGAGAACGGAATATTAATTTCGATGATGCTACGACAATATTTCATGTCACTCCGCGTGATGGGACAGTGGAAGTATTGGGGAAAGAATAGTATGCTGCCTATATCCATCAATGTCTTCGTCATCTCTGCCCCCCTGAAAGTATCTAGGTACTTAATCTAGAAGGTTGCATAAACTAACACATTTCCCAGTCGGTCAATATTGGGACCATGTTGCGAGCAAGGTTAACGCAAACCACATTCATCACCTTTCAACAGCAGCCGCGACTCCAGTTAGTCCAACAGCGAGAACAGATATCTCCGGTTGGGACAATTGGACAGCGGAGAAGATTCGAGAGCGGAAGACGTGTCAGCTTCCTGTCGACTCTGAGTCCGACGAGGACAACGATGGCTTGGATAGAGGATACGTCGGCGATATCGAGACGATTGATAAAGAGATGCAGATCATGCGCCGGGTATTCGCCAAATGGGCGCGGATCGCTAAGGTCGAGAGTCGCGTCGGCGAGGAACTTAGAGAGGGGGAGTTCGAGGTCGATTGGACTAAAGCGATTGCGCCACGGGTTGAGGGGCGTATCATCTGCGTCGGGGGCGAGCAGAAATAGGGAGTTAGCAACCCTCTTGGCTTGAAGGGATGGAAACGGGATTGTGCAATGACTTGATGGCTATGATTGTAACGACGTTATGATATTCAGACAAAATGTTAAAATACCGAGTTGTAGAAAGGATTCACTTCAACGCTTGACAAAAGTCGCAAGACTGTGATCTGACTGTTAAACCGGGATTGCAATTTCATTCTTGAATTTCCCCTACGGTGCTATGGCACAGTCTGTTTATAACTCCTATTTTATGGGGTAAGGCGGGAATTTGGAACAACGCGACTGTGATTAGGTGCAAGACGGCCGTAGATTATAGGTAGTCTATAGCTGGATACGTTCTCCGGGCTGGTCGTTTCGAACAAATTCATTCGTAGTGCTCTTAAGAGCTTGACTCAAACGGTGTTTGGTCTAAACATCAAGGCGTAACCAACCTAAGCCTTGGATATGGTTTATCAAACTACCTGGCCAAGTTACACTAAGCTTCTGGTACTGGCTAATGTCATAGTCTTCGATCCCCTCCTCGTTTACGAACGAGGAATACTTGCTTCAGGAATGCAGTTTCGTGTAGCGCTAATGAGTACTGATTCTGCAACTACGGACTCATATGAAAAATGGTGGACTACGTACCTCTTAAAAGTCTTTCTCTCGGCCTGTATTCTTCATGGCTACTAACACGTCGTCATCCACAACATTAAAGCCTAGTGTATCCTAGCTGACGGCGGTATAGGAATGCCTTGTCTACATTTTATGTTAATTTATTATATCATCAACGTCGCCTTAGTAGTAGCTATAACAGGCGACGGAGCACTTTTACTTGAAATGGAGCTGAACTAGTTATTTAGTATGAGGTATCTTATACTCGTTACTTTAAAAACCATTACCCACTGAAGTGATACCGTCTAATTCGGGATTAGCTTTGTGGTTACTACGATAGTTATGTATTTCGAATTATAAGATAATAAGAGCCTTAAAAGGTACATATTATTTCTGAGCCGTTGAGCGTCACAATTTAGCCCCTAAAACGACCCCATTTATTGCTCTTTCAGTGCAAAAATGGTGATTGCTAGGGCGATCGGTCGGTATCCTGTAGGGTAGAAAATCACAATCTCTCTAGTGGGGTCTAAGATGAACTGTTAAGTACAGATAATCGGGATAGGAGATTCGTACATAGGTACCTAGGTAAATTAATATCAGCATAATTCTACGTTGCAACAAGGAAGGCTTGGGCGATGTTATTGCTTGCACTTGGTACAAGAAGATATTCAATTTCGGTAATTCGAAATGCTCAGGTTAAATTCATTATAGAGAAGTGATATACAGGGCGTCGCATTTTAACAAGAATGCCCATGCACTCGAGTTGCATCAATCATATACAAGTATAAGAGTCGTTTCAAATCCAGCCCCCGTCAAACTATCCGTTCATAACATGCACTGCGTTTGAGTGCGCTCTTAGATGTTGTGTACACCCTAGCACCTGACCAGGGAGGGAACACCCCCGCCATTTACAAGTTCTTCTTGGCGAAACCCAGTCTTGGGCTTCCCTCGGAATTGTCGAAGACGACGAAGGCCGCCTTCAAGGCAACGTCACCGAAGATAGAGAAGCCGATGCCGTCGTCGGACTGGATGCCGCCGAAGCAGGTGGAGTCGTCAACAGGGGCGTAGTTGATGTACTGACCGGGGATGCTGAACTTGGCATTTTCGACGCCGAAGACGAAGTCAGGTAGGCTGGCGGAGCAGGGGAATACGTAGCCACCCTGTTGATTGTCTAGCTTCGCACCCGACACCTGGCGGTAGTACGCAGTCACGATAGAGTCGGGCAACAGAGCAAGAGTAGTGCCGGTGTCAGCGATACCCGCGAACGGGCTTGACTTGAAGCTGGTGTTACCGATGCCGTATCCGGAGCTAGTGAAAGACCAGAATCCTTGGCTGTTATCAACGTCTGTGTAGGTGATGTCACCAGTGTACTTGGACTTATCAACGACTCCAAAGTCGTAAGTACCGGCTAATTATGTAGATTAGCAACTCAATTTCAAATTTCGCATTCCAAACTGTGAGTTAGCTTACCGTCGTGGTACTTGAGATCAGCGGTCCAAGCCGCGGTATCTAGGCTGGATGCAACGTTATCGAAGAAAGTCTTCTGCGGCTTAGGCGTCACCGTGTTGATGCTGCTGAAGGCGAGGCCTAGCAGGCCGTCGTTGTTGCTGTCGCTCGTAAATTGGGAGGAGACCTTCTTTGCAGCCTCAACAGCCTGGTTCTTGAATGTAACACCACCGACGGTAACGACGTCAGTGTAGACGTCGCCGCTTGATGAGCTGCCGTCACCGTATGAGATGTCCCAGCTGGCGCCGCTGACTTTCTTAGCAGTACTGCTACCGCTTGGGTTATACGGAGTCTGGCCGTTGATGCTGCTTTTGGATTGTTCAGTGCTGAATACCCAGAGATCCGATGAGCCGGAATCGAAGTCTAGGTTAAGCTCCTGAGGTGGGGTTCCAATCGAGACAGGAGTTAGATACTGAATATCGTACTGCTCTGGAGTAGCCTTGACACTTCCGCTATCGCGTCGGAAGACCTTCAAATCGGCCATAATCCTAGACAGCCCGTCCGGAAGCTTGACACCATACTTAAGGTACGCTCTAGCTAACTGTGCCGGGCCATGGGGCTTGAAGCCCGGGTTCTTAACTTGAGGGACAGAGAAAGTCCCAACCTTAGGTGGACGCGCGGGAGACGCCGTCGCAATGCCGGCGACCGCAGCCGCAAGGGCAATAGTGCTAACTGTGCCAACCATATTGAATATATGTCTTGGAAGTGTTTTGATCGGGATAGAATATACAGTGCTAAAGAATGCTGTAAAAAAGAGTGAATGGAGATAGCGAGAGAGTGAGTATGTATGATATATGTTCAAAAGGGAGAAGCTGTTACTATAACTAGAAACCTCCTTGCAGCCCGAGGATGGTGAGCAAACAAATATTCCAAACAGGCTGAGCAGAAGGGTAGGTATTTATAAAATACCAGAGCTGAGCAGGTTGTGATCGTGAATTAACGGAAACGGTAGGTAGGTTGGATGGGACAGGGACTAGTCAAGGGGACTGCAGATCTCCCTCTTCCAATCTACGACCGAGGAAGCCAGACTCAGTTAGATGCAGGTATTAGCCGTATGTATACCAGAGCTATTCCATGTGAGTGGGCTTTTTGGAGCCACAGCTGCCGTTACGGGTAAGGAGCTGTACCGAGTAATACAAAGAGAAGTCAATCACGTCTTTTGGGTCAACGTTTAGCTATCGTGATCGGCTCAGGTTGTGCGAGGGGGGCACTCAGGCACTCTGGGGGGGGGGGGGGAGGCCGGCAGCGCTTCTGGTTTGTGGAACACGGCGGCTTGGCAGGTAGATCTGAACCGGCGGACTTGGGACAAACAAGTTCTAAGTTTCACACTGATTGGTCGGCCGTTTTGATATGTTTAATTCATTGCCTAACGGCCGGCCGGCTTATTGCCCCTTTCTGGTACGTTTTCCAGTTTCTCCAGTTTCTCCAGTCTCCGCGCCGTTTACATGCAATTCTCTTTGGCTGCCCCCCTCCCAACAGCCTAGCAGCCCAGAAGCCCCCGTCTTCACCTGGCGCGGATCGCTGGTTCGTATTTTCCTTTCCGGCTACGGCCATGGTGTGTTTGGAACCCACATCTGGGAGCATGTGATATATACATTCGGAAGCCGGGCTGGAGGAGGCGGTGATTTGACAGTTACCAGCTGATAAAGAGATGAAAGGGGATAGAGCGCATGGATCACGTTGTCGTCAGTGTCTTACAAACAAGACAGGCTTTAAGCTTCTTTGGATCTTAAACCAACCACAGTAGTATGTAGATTAGAGTGCGGGCCACGTTGCTACGCAGATGGGCTTGGCTGACTCGTACGTGCTCTAGCGCGGCTGGACATGCCGTACAGCATTGAAGATCTGCGTAATAACGTATTATTCCCTGTGCTATATGTGCCGGCTTGTAGTGTTGTTTCAGATAGGGGCAAGGCTTTTCTTCGCTTTTCACCACACCCATGCCGCTCGCGGGGTGGGGGTTCTCTTGGCTTGCGCTTGTATGATTGGCTTCGATACTAATTGGAACTTGGCGCTTTTTGGCAGGTCACTGCCGTCATTTTGTTTCTTACCTAGTGAATCATCAACTGCATTCGACCAACGCCGGTGACCTTCCTGCTCGTCAGGGTGAGACCTCGGACCAGGACTAAAGAAAACAAGCCTTTCCCCGGATCTTGGCCACCTTGGCTAGATGCTATCACCAGGAACACATGACGTACGAAAGCTTCTTTGGTTGACACTCTATGAAATGTACGTCACGGTAGATGTTCGTCCGCTTTTACTACGTAATATTTCTCTTTGCTGTAATTTACAAAGGAGTTCAAGCCATCTAAGCATGTGCAGATCCTCTTGCTAGGCTGGCCTATTAGCTTTCCTACAGTACCTAACCTAGGTAACCTAGGTAATTAGCATTGGCATACTAGCGTTAATATCCCGGCGAGGAGAATTCCAAAAAATGATTAGGATGGAAGTGCGTTTTCTGGACCGAAAGGTTCAGGGGATGACAGAAGAGAATGGCACTTCGAGATGGTGATAGGGCAGAGAACATGCTTAATCAGACCCCTACAATTATCGGGTAGAAGCTATCCAGTTTGGGGTTTGTCCAACCATATCTCTCTCTGCGCATTACTGTTTTATTCCCCAGTTTTACAACATATGGGCCATCGTCGCACCGTGCGCCTATTGGATCACGCCGAGTTCGTACAATCAACTGTTCACGCCATTCCCTTCGGGATGACCTCGAGTTGCTGTAATCGGAATTTATCTTCAGGGATCTACACTACTTCTTGGCAAGGTAGGTAGGTAACTAAAACATAGATATATCGTATCGGTAACTTACTTAAGGAGGTAGATATTATTCGGCCAACGGCGGTATTGCACATTCGCCCTTCTCATTGACGCCATGCCATTCACATTATCAACTTATCCAATTAAGGAAGCTCGTCGAGTAAAAGCCTGTACAACCTGTAGCCTCATCGATTTAGCTTCGACGGCCAACATCATCTCAACGGTTTAACCTGTTCAAGCCGAGGCCGTTATTAAGGCGCAGGATCTATTGACAAATCACAGGTCGGCGCATGGGAATTGAGTCAGTCAAACAAGCCTAAGGCCTGCAGAATAGCGTAGCCGCCGAGCGGGTGACTACATGTTATCAACACTAAAATTCAAGAGATATCCCGGATATCTTAAATTCTCAATATACCTACCTAGATAGGTATCCATGTTTCCGGGTAACGTAACGCATGATTGACACCAACGCCACTAGAGGCTAAGCCGGCGCCTCTGCTTTCATGAGAGTTGCCTAATTCGGATACGTATTTACAAATCGAGGCAATCAAGCGAGTCCTAGAGGCTGAGAAACAGGCCATGATTCAAACCTTATTCCCTGGTTGATAGCTTACATTTTCGTCGTAGTGCATCTGAGCGCATAGATCTGTATATTAGAGCCTCGTTTCCTCGTTCGGCGAGCTGCGGCTTCATGCATTAGGAATGCAACCCTGCTGTAAACTAAGAGAGCTTCCAATTAATGTGTAAGGGTCAACGGAAACATAGATGATATTAAGGGTCGGAGTTAAAAAATGGTATATATCGCTTCTCTCCTTGCTCCCCAAAAAAAACTTAGAGAAGCTGGGAAGCAATCGTCTATGCATGTAGGATTTTCGTTTTGCGGCCAGTTCCTTGGGACAACATAGGCCTCGTATAGCTTAGTCCATAGTTACCTCCCTTATCAAGGTAGATAATCGATCGATTTTAAGCATACATTCGCAATAGAGGTAACCATAAGAGCCAGGTACATGGACACATTGGTTGATGGCTGGGAATAGGTTTAATGCACTCAGATACGAATCTCTGAGAGAGGTAACAACGTCCCAATAAAAAGTTGGTTAAAGCGGTTAAGAAGATTTGGGTGATTATAGGATCACATCTAATTCTCCTTATTTTCCCTTCATGTCCACAGTGCCCCTTACACTTGCACCCGTACCCCTTTCATCAATTACACACCTCATCCCTAGTCTTCTTGTGGCAGCTTTTTAATCGCACACTTGCTTTGATAGGTAGCTATTAAGAATCTTAAGTTGGTGAGCAGTGTATATAGGTACATTTATAGTCATTTGACATGTAGTGTGCTGGAAAATGAGCTTAACCTGATGGATTATGTAGCTTTGAGGATAATATGAATAATCCAAGGCAGTCGGATAATCCAAATCAGAATTGAACATCTTAAGGTCGTCTTAACAGCTCTGTACCGGCAACCTAATATGCTTGGGCTTCATAGTGAAATATCACCGAGGTCCGGAACAACTACACGCTAACCCACGCGTGTACACGCACACGGCGATTTTTCGTGAGTGTGTTACACTAATACACGTGGGGGTCTCTTCGTGGATATATTTAGTTGATCCGGACCTTGAATATCACACTGCGAGGTACAGAAATTCTCAGTTTACCTAGATATTTCTGCCATTGGCTACCTACTAGGTATATACCTATGTGGCTGACATCTACAAGTTATGTAATTATTTGGCGATGTGATTTCATGACCTAACCAAATAACTGCTAAACCAGCGGAGAATAAAGGCAAAATCATAGATATATCATCCTAGAACAAGCAGATGATAGCTAAAGAAGAGCCAATCATTATAAGAGCGTCTTGGACATACTGCCTCATCTTAATAGATTTCAAGATTATTGTACTTCATTGTATATGCGCCGTGGCATTTCCAACCAGGGAAGAATATCATATTGAATAAACCAGAGTTAATAGGTAAACTGAAGATTCAGACTGTAATAATGTGTTATAATCCCCCATCTCCCTATCTACCATTATGAGGATAATAAAAGTCACACGAGAAACACGAGGCTATCCTTTAATTCTGGACTAAGGGCACTGGTCGGCATTAACAATGATGTTGTAATCACCTCCATCAAATGCTTGACCTTGAATCAAGTTATCGTTCCCCGATATCGCGCAATCCGGCTCGTCCAGTATATCATTAATATGATCAGCGAGGGTAATACTATTTTGCTGGATCCACCACAGATTGTCATTACAGAACCAGACTGCTGCATTCTCCATACAGGAGAATTTGGTGCAACGCTGGGCATCAACGGATAATCCTGTAGCGAGTGAGTTCAACCAGTCGCGGCTTTTCTCTATAGCAACTCTCGAGGCGGGTGGTAGATTCTGCACATGGCATAAAACCTTCTCCTGTTATCTATGATGTCAGGCCTAACTTAATCCAATGGCTATAAACGTAAAATCGCGTATTTAAATCCAGCTCACCGTTATACGCTTCCTCGGTGGTTTATCCTGACGTCGTGTCATAGATTGGAAGTGTTCCCATGAGAAGTCGGGGTTAAGATTGCGTATTTGCATATCGATTTCCTGGATCTCTCGATTAGGGATATGCCATAGATTCAACAGCCGCTACCCCATGCCGGATAAAATTTACTCACCTGAATAGTACCATTGAAGGTCTTCTTAATACCATCCGAATCCACCACCCCTTCTATGATTAGTGGCGCTACTGTCAGATCGACCCGAAGGCCTGTAGCCATCAAGCAGAAACAACCCAATAAGTATGGTTTCATACTGAAGGCCTTGTTATCGTGGACTTGTGGTAGAGATGCTGAAAAATCATAGCAGTAAATATGTCGATAGGTAGTGCAAAGGAGGGGAAGAGATCGAATTTATTAGAGACAGTTTGGGGGCCATGATAGTCCCGTAGCTGCGTGTAACCTTCACGGATATCTGTTCGTGAACCATAATCCGTGACTTAGGTTGGTGTTGGTCGTAATATATACGATTCCCTCGCATTTATACATGTCCTGTGACGAGGCCGATTTATTTTTAGGGTTACCCAGAGTTTATTTATTACCTTAGGTACCTATGTAGGTAGGTTACTAGGTAACTAGATCATATAAGATCTTGTCACATTCCCTTTTTTTCGTCACACGGGTTATAGTATAGGTACATATGATTAAATATTCAATAAACCACCTTGACTGGTATTTAGTCTTACCACTGACATTTCATATAATATATTAGATACTCTCTCGACTTCAATGAGCACGCGATATAAATAGCTGATGGTGTATTTGGTTACTAGATTGCTTCCAATTAACATTAAGCTGACACCTTACTCGCGCGGTCGTTATCTAGTATCTGTGTCTTTACAATATTGTTTACCTTAGTCTATGGAACAACGATCTCAAATATTCTTTAGTGCTTAGGCAGTTTCAACTACGACGTCTAATCGTGACAATGATGGGTTGAATATGTAATGGAAAATCGATTATGCTGAGCTACAATTCCCAAGAAACTGATAAGTTTCCATTGCCATGGCTTAAACTGCCAGATGGCTAAATACCGAACACGGCGATGAAAACTAAAATAGGAAACCGGGTATCTATTGATATATATTTGGTAATAAGCGTTAGACTTAAATACACAGTTAAGATGAAAAATGCTTGATAAACTATGCTAAGCGACTTTCTATTAAGACTGCAGCGACATTGATTCGATACTTCGAACAAGAATAGACTGGTCAAATCGACAGTCGCATCGGACCATGAAGTATTAATTGTACCTAAGTGGGTCTCTTTCTTTTCTACACGTATGTACCTAGGTACCTAGCCTAATGCTCCAAAGTACAATACCTAACCGGGACTTGCCGACTGACTCACCTAACCCACCAAAACTTTAATAAGCCCCAGGTACCTATTTATAGGACATCAAACTATAGAAGGTACCTAAACGTCGCATAATACTTGATGTCAAGCATTAGGAGATAGGTACCTCTTAACATAAACAGATCATTTACTTCGTCTCCCCGGTCGCAACCACAGCCTCCCTTCTATTAAGCCCACGTTCGTCAAGAAGCATACTTCAGCAACAGATGATTTCTGACACAAGCTTTGTTTCTTCTGCTATTCTTAAGAAATAGCTAACTCAGGCTCCCTGGACGAGATCTCCAATATGCTTGGCTCAGTCCGCAGGAAAATCTGCCGTCATAGTAATCGTGACCCAGATAACAATCCCCTACGCAGATCAATTCTATTTCTTGTCAAGGGACAAGTGAGGCTAGTATGAATTAGGTATAGATCTACGCAGAATAGATATATAAGGGGCGCTGCGCTCCCTCGAAAGAGGATAGAAGATCAAGCGTTAATAGATTCATACTACTATACGGCTATTATAGCTATTATACAGCAGCGAAGCTGCTGCTTCTAATATTTACTCTACGTATGACATCAATCAAAGGGTATCTCTGACATTTCTCACCTATCAGACCACGCGCCATGGTCCTCAGAACGGATTTCGACTCCAAGGGGATACACATAGAGAAAAAGTAGTAGGAGAGGGGGTTACACTACTACATATATGAGGAAAATGTATATTGTGCAAACGACCTAAAGATTTTCGCGCTGGAAATCCCGAGGAATATCCCCATATACATAGTCCAGACACTATCTTCGTCCCCGGAAATCTAGCAAATGATGGAAATGACTAGGTTAGCTATTTGTGCTGGGATGTTTAAAGCAGGATTAATTAATGTAAGTCTCTTCCTGCATAATATATAGTAACCAGGTCTAGATTTTAAATTATTATCTATTATGCGTAGCCCACGTCATACAAGTAGAGCTACCCAAGTCTGACATCGTAGTAGGAAATCTACGTCATGGGCGGTGTGAAGACGCCAGTAAGAAGGCATGGAAACAGCTTTGTCGTTCCGCAAGGAATTCTAATAACCCAAAAATTTGCTGGATCGAGGATCAACCGCTCAATGTACGATGCTATGTGAGGACTGATTATTCCATACGCCCTTAACTACGTAATTAACGCAGTACTTGTGTAGTGTACGCAAGTTCGCCAGTTAGGGTGCGGTAATCGAGCTTGCGTAGACAGCACAGGTATCACTCCTACTGCCTAGGTCTTCTGCGCTAAGGCATGCCCCCTTTCATACCCCTTTCATATATGATCCTCTGATTAACGTCAAAATTGACCCTATCATGAGTTGTTCGTATATATAGTCGTTTCTGGTAATGTGAGACTTGTCCCGTAAACCTTAATATTGAGAGTACCTAGATAACAACTGCTAGCAGCTCCTCATAGTAATACGATTATCATTCTTCTATAATCGTTCTTCTATAATAGGTATAGGAATTGACATGCCTCTATCCCTTTTAACAATTTCCAAGACGAAGGCTTCGTAAACTGTAAAATATTCAGCAAGAACTACCTAATAGATTCAGCTACATATAACGTCCATATTAATTAATAGGTACCTAGGTAAATCTATGTATATGCTCGGATTTTGAAAGCTCCAAGTACAGAAGCCCCACCCAGCTTAAAAGCCGTGTCTACTTTGATGCGTGATAACTATCGGCTTTTAAGAACCGAAAGGCCTTACCCTTGCAGCTCAGGGTTAGATGTTCTGGGGTTCAGATGGACCTTTGTTTTTTCTCCCCTACTATGTACTTGTGACCTGGTACTACAAAGTACATATTCGATCAAGCCTCATAGGTGGGATGTAACGTAGTTTTTCAACTTCGCGATGCGCTGGCAGTTGTTAAGTCCTGGGCACTAGACCTTGTAGCGTGTATCTCATCTCAGTGGTTACCTAGTATAATTATCCATGGGAATTCTCAACCCCGGTGCGGTGCCTAATGACATGTCACAAGGACGACTGTTTGCTGGTAGGTAGAAGTCTTTCACTAGTAGGGCGTCGATACTCTGTATATTTGACGACGATACTACACAGCGCAGGCTGAGCCTCAATTGCTCCCTGTATTACTGCCTACAGAATTCTTAGCTCATTCCCAATCTGTCGAATTTCATAACAGGCATCTATAGCGGTAGCCAATCGGACTAAGACAGCGCGTATTTAAATTGGTTCCTTTACGATCCTTTTATGTTTAAACTAATCTCAATTTCGCCCAGTCGTCCCACTTCATTATGCCTTTTCTTCAGCTCCGAGCTATTCTTTTGGTCTAGACTCTCATCCGCCTACTAGAAAGATTTGTGAGGTCAATCGCTTCGCATCCTACCGTACAGGGCATGAGTTCAGGGGCAACGGAAAATAAATATCTACTGCTGCCCTTCATGTTCCCATGTTTTCACCAGCTTGCTAAGCGCGCATTTATTCACAGAACCAGTTGTTCGCCTTAAGTTTATACCATTTCTAAAGATGTTTGCCCAACTCGCTCTCGCCTCTCTCCTCGCCGCCGCTCCGTTGGCTCAGGCAGCTCAGAACGTAACTGTCAAGGCGCTACCGACTGAAGATTGCTCATCTTATCCGGGTTATGATGCCGCATCTAACACAGCCGGGCCCTGGATCCTTCAATTAGTTGATAGCGACAACACTGCTATCGAGGGATTTGGTGACACTTCTGCGTACTCGATCTCCTTCAACCCTGACGTTGATCATAAGCCAACTATGCGATGGGGTTACGTGAGTAGCTTAATTATAAATCTTGATCTACGAGGACTCTAATCGGGAGGCACAGATCACCTTCCCAACAAACAACCAAATCGCCAAGACCGCCATGAAGTGTGACGGGGGTGTCCTCAAAGCTTGGGTATCTACCGATCTGACAGACGCAGGGGCTCCCACAAATACCCAATGGTCAGAATTGTTATTCCCCAAGGATGAGCCGTATGACGCTCCCTTGCTATGGAAATTGACCGACGGTGTCGCGCCCCAGATCTTCGAGCACTACATCGACGGCGAGAAGCAGGACGGCGTGTTCCTAGGTGCCTACAATACCAGCACTAGGTGGGGACTCAAGTACAACCCGGCAAACGCGGGATCATATCGCCAGGATTTCTATTACGCACGGATCTTGGGACCGAACAGTGCGGATCCCGTGACCGGTAATGCCTTGAATGCAAATGAGACCACGGCTTTCGTCAAGATCTGGGCGTAGATACTTGCGTATCTCTAGAAACTTTGAGTGGATTGGGGTCGACTGAGATATAGTTTAGATGATTTACGAATGGCTTCCTAAGAGCAGCAGTCTAGTTGATGTGGTAATTAGCATGTGAGGATATCAATTTTAGTAGTTTATATATTGTATATTGAGGATTTTAGGATGTATAACTACCTCTTTTGAAGAAGTAAACTAGCAATCTTTAGCCATGCTGCAGCTCTGCTTACGCGTTATCTGTTCTCTTGCTTGATTATTTACTGTCTTCTCTTCCTGGTGTCTAAACAATTTATGTTGGGAGCAAATACTTCGAAGAAATGACAATTCCAAGTAAGCAACTGGTGGCTTCGTAGGTACCTCAAGTAAGATGTCCAGCACTTAGTAAGTGTATATACAAATGCAGGTAGGAGGTATGCACATAACCTTCCATCTATGTATCTTGGCGAGTTGAAGCACTTGCGGCTAAAGTAACTTCCTCAGGTACCTGGTACCTCAAGTAGTTGCTACGACAAATTCTAAAGCCCCTTCCTTCAAAGTTCTTTCCCTCTCCTTATTTAGAGTTGAGTACTGTATTGGCAATCACCAACTCGCTAGCTACCTACATGTAGGTAGGTAGGTGAATATGCAGACATCTTCACCTTACATGTATGTAGTGGATGAAGTGTCAATAATTTCCTACATCTCACAACTTACTAGACTGAATAGTGCCGATAAACACAACATCTGCGCAACTAAGACGTGTCAAGATGCGTTTCCTACAAGCACTTTTCACTGCTATCGGCCTTATAGCCTTGGCTAAAACTGCGAAGCATCACCTTATCGTCGGAACCTTCAGCACCAACTTCCTTTACACTGTCGAGTATGACGACGCGGCTGAGACCCTGAAACTTGTCAAGAATACTACCGCCAACGCAGGTAGCGCCTGGATCACTCTAAGCGTAAGTATATAACTTCGAAATATTAAACTAAATAGTGACGGTCATGCGTTCTTGGGCTAACTTGCAATAATCATAGCATGACAAGAAGAACTTGTACGGAACCGACTGGAACGCAGACAAAGCTTCTTTCGTCAGCTACAGCTTGAGAGATGCAAAGTCTATTAAGTACGAGACTAGAGTGTTCGGAGACCCCGAATGCCGAGGCAAGAAAAGCATCTTCGTCGCTGCTTATCCCAAAGCACCCTACAGGTATGTAGCATATGCCTTATTACGTACCCTTATATGTCTTATCAAATTGCTAACCCCTATCCCTACAGTGTGTATGGTAATTATTTCTACGGTGATGCGAAGTGCGGTATGGTCATGTCGGTACATGAAAATGGAACTCTTCACGCCGCACTACAACAGTACGAGTACGCAGACGATTCTGCTGTAACTGGAACTTCATTCAGTGCTGATTCGAAGTACCTCTACTCGGCTGATGACGGTGGTAACTCCATCTGGGTCCATACCGTTGCAGAAGAGGACGGCAGCCTTAACTTCCTCTGGCGAGTTGACATGCCTGTGAAAGGTGCAGACCCTCGTCATGTGTTCGCCCACCCGAAAGGGCAATACGTCTACACCGTCTGGGAGGGAACGAGCGAAGTCGCGCAGCTCATGACCAGCGACCTCGGCAAACTATATGTCCTGCAGCAAACGTATCCCCTTATCAAGGACGGTGACAAGGCGTCAGATTTCTGGGCTCACGAGGTTGCCCTTTCCGCCAATAACAAGTACCTCTGGGCAAGCAATGGTGCGTCCAATCTGAACCATAAGGGATACATTTCAGCTATCAGTGTCGACAACGAAGGTCTCCTCGGCGACCAGCTCTTCCTCATCCATACTACCTCAAGCGGTGGATCTGCCAATGCCATTGCCCCAAGCCCGTTCGACGACGGAATTGTTGTCACAACTGATAACTCGACAGGCTTTGTCGAGATATGGAAGATGAATGATGACAAATCTGGGGCAAATGTGGTAGCTCATCTAGATATTGACGGCGGCGGTGGATGCTGTGCCAACGCTGTTTGGTACTCGTAGTTTTATTACGATGTCTAGTCACTTCTCAGTTGATTGACTTTCATTGATGCAGGTGTGGTAGCTACCTATGCAGCATCTCGTTGATAGATGTATCTGAGCAATACAAAATGATTTGCCATGGATGTACATCATCCTAGGTTAGGTTACTTCTGTGCTTACCTTCTGCCAAGATAAATATATTGCATTCATTGATTGCATAAACTTAGCATGGGGTAATAATCGCGTGCAAAGCGGGGAGCGGTCTTACGTAATAAAGCCTCTTATCTTACTAAATATTTCCTTTCAGGACTCGTAAAACTCGAAGCTTTGGACCTGAGACCAACTTCATTGTAACGCTTACATCTGATCTATTATATTATATCGAGCGCGAGTATGACCTCTATCGTCCCGATGGATCAGCAAAGGATTTCAGTGCTTTTTGTTTGCCTTGGCAACATATGTAGATCCACCATGGCTGAAGGAGTCTTTCGATCTATCGTAAAGGATCGGTCATCTCCCTACTACAATCTCGTAGATAAAGTGGATTCTTGCGGGACAGGTGCGAATAACTACTATGCCTTATATATAGTCCTTGCGACTTAGGAGGTCATATGCTAATATTATTATAATAGGTGGATACCATACTGGCGACGAACCCGACTCTAGGACGATGTCAACCCTCGAAAGCCACGGCATTACGAATTACACGCACGCGGCGCGTAAGGTTAGTCTGCATCTAGGATCTAGTCCAACCGGTAAGATACGGCAATGTGGCTAATTTAGTAAATGCTCTACAGCTCCGTGATAGTGACTTTCGAGAATTTGACTATATATTTGCAATGGACAAAGCGAACCTGGAAGATCTCAATCGATGGAGAGCTAGAAGCAAAAATTCGTCCATATCTAAGGCGCAGGTCATGCTATTTGGCGAGTTCTCCGGCACGGGCCGTAAGGAAGTAGTGCAAGATCCTTACTACGTCGGTCAGGACGCTTTTGAGAAAGCATATGAACAGTGCAAGAGATTCTCGACAAACTTTCTAGACCAAACATTTCCCGATGTCGGTAAGACGACGGCACAAGCCTGATAATACCTAATATTTGGTTTCCTGTTTAGATCATAGACGGGCTAATAGACATTACGAGCATACGACGGAATCTGTGGATAATGGCAGGATTTGTAGAGACGAGTAACGATAATCATGTCTTGTAGGCCTTTTCCGTAGGTAGTTCTATTACAATAACAGCTGGGCAAATATAGATCAAGCTACTGAGTACCTGTGCTCAGAAACAGAGAGTTGCTGTCGTCTTACAAGCTGCAGCCTTGAGATTGGATATATTTATGAAGTAAGCCAATAAAATTGACGAATGCGCGTTAGAATAGTGTGGATCTAAGTCATATTGGTGTAAGATTTTTGGGGGCTAAAATGGAATCTTCCCTCAGCCTCAGCTCAGTAGAATACAGACGAGGAGGATCACATGTTTATCGACAAGCTTTGCGTCTTCATTGAGATGGGTTCTGCCAGCTTATTCTGATTTAAGATTAAAGTGTTGGATGGATATATCACACAGCCTTGTGATTAATGACTACCTTAGGTACCTGGGTATGTATTTACCGGGAACTTATATGCCTTATGCTGACGTTGAAATTTACTTTTGAAATTACCTCTTTCTTTCATGATGTAGGCGCTTATAAGGCGAGCAGGGGGCTCGTTGGCGCTGTTTTCATTGGATCCGAAAATAGCGGGACAGGGCTCGAAAAGTGACCAACCACAGTTGGTATCAACTAGCCGCTGCCATCTTGCGGGGAACACCTCGTTCGTTAGGTTAGGTACTTTTAACCATTTGTCGTACCTAGTACTAGATACGTACTTTTTTAGGCGGCGGACCCCTCGCGCCCCACCCATCCCCTGGAGCCTTTGGGTCTAACAACTTCCCCTCCCCCTCGACTCCTCAAGATGACTTGCCCATTTGAGTTACACAGCGCATATTTTCTTTCTTTGACACATCACCGTCGCTATTCTGCCTTGGGGGTCATTTTGATCTTTTTTATGTTACCCCTTGGAGCTACACCAACCCATTAATTTCGTTAGAAATTTGGTCGACTTAGTAGTTTTGCAAGTCGTCTTCCTTTCCTGTTTTTTTTTATTTTTTTTTTAAAAAAATAGTATCCTGTCCCATCACATCGTCCATAAGCCTCGCTTACTATCCGCTCACCCAGTCGTCTCCCGTCAGCTTTGTCGTTATTGTATCTATTCACGATCGGCTCTCTTCTTTGATACTTGGATATCGGTTCCATTGTTAAAGAGGTTAAAGAGGTCCATCCATTCTCGGTAGGATTATCATCGTCCTTTACTTTAACTAGACACAAAGTCGAACCGATTCTTGTCGCAATCCGATTCGAGTAATTAAGCCCGGTTCAAGCGCAAACCCGCAGATAATCCCCCTGAATCAAAGTGACCCTGAAGCTTGACTTCCATCATGTCCGACCTACAAGGACGCAAAGTCTTCAAGGTTTTCAACCAAGACTTTATCGTCGATGAACGGTATACCGTCACCAAGGAACTAGGACAGGGAGCTTACGGTATTGTTTGGTTCGTGCGCGGTTTAATTCAGCCCCCCTTTGCCACAAGTTTTGCGCAGAGTAGCTAATATCTCGTTTACGACAAATAGCGCTGCAGTAAACAACCAGACAAACGAAGGTGTGGCCATCAAGAAGGTTACCAATGTCTTTAGCAAAAAGATCCTAGCTAAGCGCGCCCTGCGCGAGATCAAGCTCCTACAACACTTCCGAGGTCATCGAAATGTAAGACACTGCTGTGCTTTGTCGCGTGATGCTAGATGCAGCAGCTATTGATATTACGGAATGGGATTGCTGATTTTATTTGGATGCTCAGATCACATGTCTTTACGATATGGACATTCCTCGACCGGAGAACTTTAACGAGACATATCTATACGAAGGTACGGATCCAACCTACACCACTAACAGTCCTCCTGCTCACTAGCTCGTTGCGCAGAACTAATGGAATGCGACTTGGCTGCTATCATTCGTTCCGGCCAGCCCCTTACCGATGCCCACTTCCAATCATTCATCTACCAGATCCTTTGCGGCTTGAAATACATTCACTCAGCAAACGTCCTACACCGCGATCTGAAGCCAGGAAACCTGCTTGTCAATGCCGATTGCGAACTGAAGATTTGCGACTTTGGTTTGGCCCGCGGTTTCTCGGTTGACCCTGAGGAAAATGCCGGTTATATGACTGAATATGTTGCCACACGATGGTACCGTGCGCCCGAGATTATGTTAAGCTTCCAGAGTTATACCAAAGCTAGTGCGTGGATACCTTGTCTTGATTGTGATACCAGTTATTAACCTCTTTTAGTTGACGTTTGGTCCGTGGGGTGTATTCTCGCCGAACTCCTTGGTGGACGACCCTTTTTTAAGGGACGCGACTACGTCGATCAACTCAACCAGATCCTCCACATCCTCGGAACACCTAACGAGGAGACCCTGCTGCGTATTGGTTCCTCTCGCGCCCAGGAATATGTCCGAAACTTGCCGTACATGGCTAAGAAGCCTTTCCCAACCCTATTTCCCAATGCTAACCCTGATGCGCTGGACCTCCTTGATCGTATGCTAGCGTTCGATCCATCTTCACGTATCAGCGTCGAACAGGCCTTGGAGCATCCTTATCTCCACATCTGGCATGACGCCTCTGACGAGCCCGACTGCCCCACTACCTTCAACTTCGACTTCGAGGTTGTTGACGATGTAGGTCACATGCGCGAAATGATCAAGGATGAGGTATTCCGATTCCGACAACTAGTGCGCACCGCACCAGGAAGCGTCGGGCAGACCGGTGGACCCCAGGTGGCGGCTGGTCAAGTGCCGATGCCTAGTGGTGGAAATTCGCAATGGAGCGCCGAAGATCCTCGACCCCAAGAATACACAAACCAGATGGGGTTAGAAGGGGAACTGCAGGGTGGTCTCGACGCTGGCGTTAGAAGATAGAATCTCTTCTCCCAGCGCCCTTGGGCAGGGGGAGGCATCAACGCCTCCAGAACAAAGGAGAGATGCCAGAGTTTCCCAAGACGATTTAGCCGCTACAACCAAAAAATTAGAAATAAAGAGTATCTACAGTGGTAATATGGCGAAGGATCCTCGAATCGCGCCTGAGAGCGTGTTTACCCAGGCATTGTCTATTTTTGGAACGGATGAGAAGGTAAATTGGGCGACACGCCCAGCACCCCTCAGCGAATGATAACTTCACGATGAAAGAAAATGGGGTTTCACTTTTTCTTGTCAGCCAAGAAGGAGCTTTAAATTAGTAATTTTACGGTCATGGGTTACGACGAATCTTAAAAAAGCAAGCTCTTTACAACGTTGAAGTATATAATTGTGCATTGATACCACGTCTGGGAATGGGTCGACCGAGCGCATAAATATTGAGCCGACGAGCCCAGATGTTGCCATCTGTGCGTACCTATACCTATACCTTGACACGTGCAGAGCAAGGCTATGCGCTCTATTATAACCCATGCAATTGTTTATTCCTATCAGTTGGACTGAATTGAAGCTGTCTTGGAAGTAGAACAGGCTTATGTGCCACTTGTAGTTCTCCTATGGGAGACTGGGTCCCTCTTTAGACATATGATATGCCTCGTAGTTTGCTAATATCAGCTGACCTTCTATATGAATTATGAGTGACCGTTGGACATCGCTAATAACTGTATCTCTTGTATCAGCGTTACCCATGGTTGGTGAGCCGTTGCACATACATCTCGAGCCGCCGTAATACTTGAGGATATTGAGTATTCTTGTAGAAAAGCCCTATTCGCTATCCTCGAATACCTTTAAGCTTAGGGTACGGAGTTGACTTTAAGCTTAATAAAATTCGCGTCAGGGTGTAAATAATTATTAAGGACAAGTATTATCCAATATTTTTCTGTCATATTATATCCATATGTACACTAGCTCTCGTACCGGGGAATAAGTTACAGAAAATCAAAAAAGGGTATCCTGCCTTGCTTATGAGAGTATTACGATGTAAGGACATAGACTACACATCGAAGTCACAGAAACTCCCAATGAAAAATAAACATAACGGTAAGGGATACCAGTCCAGCTTAAGAACTTATTGTCGCCCACGCGGCCCTCGTCCCATGCTCCTCATGTCCCAACCCAAACCAAAACGCCGTGATCCAGCCCCAGCCCACCAGGAATCCCTGGTCCAGCCCAATAGCAAATCAGATTTACCGCCCAAACTTTTCCTTGTTGTTGCTTTCTATTTCTTAGTTTGCTTTTTCTAAAACCTGCCAGGTACGCTCAATTTTCGTAGATCCAGTATTGCGCAGCGTACGGTATGCTCTGCGTCTGACCGGCACCGCTACATGGCTCGGGGTTTCCACCGGCAGTGAGTACACGATACACAAGGCTTACGCCGGTGCTCGTTCCCTTATCGCTTAGACGTAGCCAGTCTACGGCGCCGGTGGCCGGGTCGGCGCCCTTATCAGCGTCGCTTGGTGCTGGTACCCCCGCGTCCTTTTTCCCCTTGAACAGTTCACCATCGCCTGCACCCGATAGATCAAACGTGGGGGTGTTCGTCGCATCGAAGAAATGATGTCCTAGGAACTTTAGAGGACTAGGTATACCCTCTACTGTCAGGTCCGCAGGTGCCGGAAATGGAGAGCCTCCTTCAGCCGCCAAGTTAACTGGCATATCTGTCTTGCGCAGTACCGTAGAAGCGAAGGCATCGAAATCATCTGTGGAGAGAGAAGACGGGGAGGCTCCGGGGTACAGGTTTGTGATCTCCCATACTACTGCTAGAGCACCAAAAGATGCGGCTGTGGCCCCTTCTGCGCTGCATGTGTAGTTCTGAATTCCGTGGCCAACGAGGATGTGCTTCAGTATAGCGGCGTCGGGACCGGCGAGCTGGGTACCAGCTACGGGAATGTTAGTTCTGTCGTCCTCTTATATGAACTATATGGTCTGCATAAGCTACTTACAACCGGTGGTGGGCAAAGTAGGGACAACTGCTACTGGGGGTGCAGGAGCAGGGTCGGTAGGGGTCGGGATAGTGCTGTTGCTAACACTACTACCACATCTACGCCGTAAAGGGGAAGCGGAGGTGAGAGCTAGGGCCGATAATATGATGAACAAGCTTTTGGGCTGCATTTTGATAGTTCTAAATTTGAGTAGAAAGATGTATGTACGATTGAGAAAAAAGGCCTTAAAGAAAGTAGGTATTATAAGATAACCAGGCAAGACAGAACGAGAACGACAGCACAAAAGTACTTTTCAATAGTAAAAAGGGTAGTGCAAGCGGTAGCTGAGGACGGTGTAATGTTTCTTGGCTGGCCGTGGCCGTGTGTCGTGTGGGTAGCGGGCGAATGGCCTACCAGCGCTTAGGGATAGAAATAGCACTATGCGAGTTGTATACGGGTACGGTGGTATTTCCAAGGGTATGCAATGCAAGATGCGAGAGAATGGCTTCCCGAGCCGAGATTTGACGTGGTCGGTTGAGGAAATTGAAGGTAGAATACGAGCCTGAAAGAGAAGAGATAGCCCGGACGTAGGAACTTAGAAAGGATACTTTTTTCACAGAAAAAAAAACAAGAATAAAGATAGGAATAAAGATAGGTAGGGAAAATACCGACGAGAATGATGTTGGTAATCGTAAACTTAGATCAAGGGATCTACTAACTAGAGTTTATATCCAGCAACTTGTCTCACATATCAAGTATGGACTTTCTTCCTATGCTAGGAGATCTTCCTAGGTTGCAATGCAGGATGAAGTATGTACTTTGTCTTTTCCTGTCGTGCAGCAAAACCCCAGCTGAACGAGATGTGTATGTTGACGCCATGGTCAAGGGTAGATATTGCTTGACACGGGATGGCGTCCGTAGTGTCGACGCTAGAAACGGCGTGGCGGCTGACGGGAAAGGGTATATCCCCACACAGCGGGAGTAGGTACGTTGGACGGAAAGCAGGTGGCTTTTTGTAAAAATGTTACCCATCCTTGGAAACGAGCTCTTCGTCTGGTTGTCTAGACCCTTAAGGATTGTCCAGGGTCTAACTTATTATGTCTATTATATGGGGACTGGTCCCGCCGGGCGAGGATCTCCCAAAGAGCTGGGGCCTCACGCCTTGCATATTCGGGCTGTCGGATGCCTGCTAGCTATCAGTCTTGTTCCGGTCATCCATCCGCTTTCGTAAGGTGGTACAGATTATCGCATATATTTATGTAGGCAGGCTGCAATCCTCTGCTTCGCTGGAGGCCCTTAGGACTTGTACCGTCGTATGTACACTTGTTAGTCAAGGTGGCAGTGCTGCGTTCTCCGCGAAGACGCAATAGCAGCACAGAGGGTTCGCACCCGATGTCAATAAAGGAGGAGGGGTCAACAATGAATGTCTCTAGGCAATCCCTAGGAGATATGGCGAACTAGCTCGGGTGGCTAGATTGACATTAAATCCTCCTGCTTTTAGCCTCAGCCCGTTCAAAACACGACGACGACTGCTAACAGGGCTAAACCTGGGTTCGGTTGACGTTTGTAATCTTGGTAGTCAGTCTAGTACCTTGACGGGGTGGCTGATATTTCATAATATTTCAAAATGATGAGTGACGCTGAACCCTGCACATGCTACAAAAAGCTGCTGCTCACGAAGTGATGCAGGGTGAATAACCAGAACAAGAAGATCAAAACTATTGGAGGGGAAGCATGTCTAGGCTATGTTGGCTGCCGTCAAATTGATTGAGCATCAGCACGTTTCCGACCGGGGGCGCGGCTATCTAAAAGCGTCTTTTCCTAGGTAGGTAGTTACTACTAGGTTACTGTGTTGTGATTTGCTCAGTGGCCAATATTGATAGCACCATTAAAAGGTACAAGTACATATTGAATTTAGAGTAACGAGCCGCAGGGGGGTGGTTGGGATTTCATTTCGATATAACCTCTGACTGGCTGAATAGGCGACCTCCCGCTGCTCTACTACCCACTTTTAGCCCAACCCCAGTCAATCAATCGAAACGGGAGCGAAGTTGCTTGTGAAGCAATTCTCCACAGAATTGATCAGGAAAGAAGGAAGGGTGTTAACGAGCAGTTTGTCCAGATTTTTCGAAGAAGTCGGAAAGATTCCACAAAATTACCAGATCTGATAGCATGGGTCTATAATCCTGACGCGAAATCTATGCTGTATAAGGGCCATGTACGATATCAAAATAAAAACGTAATGTAAAAGCTTACAAAGTCGTTAGGAATCATTTCTGTCGGTATACCTTCTGAACCTTCTCTAGCATCTATCATATTTAAGGGACTTGTATCCTATAGCCACGATATAATCTGCGTCACATAGGCTCGGGGTTTCGGCTTGCCTCTACATACATTAGCGTCCCGAATTTTATCAGGGCTGAATGCTGTTACAGGAGGAAAAAAGAAAAGAAAAGAAAAAAAGAAAGTAGTCCACACCATGTTATAACAGCATAATCGAATCTGATACCCCCTGCATTCTTGTGCCACCTAACTGCATCAAATCGGTCCTGAGATGAAAAGAAAGAAAAGCACATATACTATTATAAAGACTGCGCCCGATGCGATGATGAATCCTTCATATGGCTATGTCCAAGCGTACGCCCTGGTAGTCGGGATAATCTCAGACATGCCTAGCCCTAACTACCGCAATATCCCATAGGTATAGTATCTCAGGATAGTGATTCGAATTGCAGAAGCTCGGATATCTACAAAGGTTTACTGGCAGTTGAGATATTCTACCGATGCATCAGTCACGATCGTACCGTTTCACCTCAAAATCCTCAAGATACAATAAACACCTCACATTGCATCACACATTGCATATTTTAATTCACATCGATAACCAACCTCTTTTCAGAGATCCATAGTATTTGCTTCGTCTTATGCATCGGACTTAAACGAAGCTAAGTTAGTCCGGCACGTATTCGAAAGGATGTTTCGTTTCAAGCTTGTTCGCTAGGTTTGACGTTTTGATCTAGCGCGACATGGGATAGATTCCTCATGTATTTACTACGTCTTTCTCCATTGGTCAATCCAACATCTTCAATTCTTTAATTCCTAAACTGGTTAAACGGCTAAATACATAGTGCCTCACATCGTAACCTTCGTATAGCGAACTTCTTTAACTCGATAGCGATACAAATAATTAATCGAATCCTTCGATGTTACCCGGGGAAAGAAAAACCCTTGCTGCCGTATGTAGGGCTAGTTACTAACCTTAAGTAAACCCAGTATGATGAAACACGCTCTGATCATCTTCGGATCGGAGGTTGCTATTCTCGATTAATCCAATCTCCCTTCACTAGAAGGAAATTTACGGAGTGAGGTTACCGACGCTTCGGATCCAACAATTCAGATACCTAGTAGGTGGTTAATGCCGGTTGGTATTGACAGGGAGTATGTACATTTAAACAACAACATAGGCATAGGCCAACTTCAGCCTCGAAGCCTTACTCTACCTAAATACTCCGTAACCTAGCGTTTAGAATACCGACGAGCATCACGATTCCCCTTTAACTAGCACCTACATTTTGTTTAATTACATCTCGCATCGTTTTCAACACTTTTGGATTTGTAATGCTGTAGCTCTATCTCCTTAGAATAGGCTAAGCCGATGATTCACTATGATTATACCTGGTTTAACCCATCTTGCCGAATTACATAGTACCATACCTCAAATAATTCTTAACCCGCCGTCTTTCACCTATGGGACAAATTCGGCAAGGTAGGTACTTTAGCATATTAGATAGCTGACGAACTCCCCTCCCAGTAGGTTAATCTGAAGATGACATCCCTGATTAAGCGCAAGCGTGGCAACTGATGCAAGCTGAACTAGGCGGACTTCGCATCCATTCAACTAGGTACGGATCCCGTATCGATATCATGCATATGGCGTTACTTTTCTTGCCATTTTAAGAGCCATCGGGTGTGTTTTCCCTTATGCGGAGAGACACAGCTTAGTCCGTAACGGCGGTACGAGTATGGATAATCATTTGCTGCAGATACGCGAGTTGGCCGCGCTTGAGATGCGACCATGAGCCCGCTATACCCGAGACCTCCCAGTTCTACCTGAAAAACGGATGCAGTCCTGACTACACGCAACCGTGCCAGAGAACCTATAGGCTTAGGATAGCTTAGTGGCGTTTGTCACCGCCTCGGTGATGCAGAAAGGTCGCTTAATCGGCCGCTTAGGCGGAACTTGTCAGGTTAGGTAGTTTTACGTCTAGCCTAACGCACAGTTATTCACACTGTAGGTTTGGCTTCTGACATTGAGTCTCGCCGTCAGATGCACATGATTTGTAGTATATCAATATCCTACAAACACTATCATACAAACGAAGATGATTTCGGTCGAAAGGTACCTACCTAACGATTGTTTCCCTGAAAATCAAAACTACTAGGTACCAAATGCTCCCCAGCATACGGACATGTATGACGAGGTCTCATTGCTTAGTGACAAGATCTCATAACTAGAACCGATGTTGGTTAAAAGTTAAACGAGCAGTAAAAACATAATCAACACTCAACTAGGCTACAATTTCATAACGATAACCCCATCTAAGCCGAAACTTTCACAAAGTCCCATAGCGTACCATCCCCAGTAGTTTCGATTAGCCTAAGATCATTGCTGACAGTGATTTTCCGGAGCTCATTGTCATGTTTCGTGAGTAACATGTAACCGCCCTGGGGGTGCTTTCTAACACAGAAGTATTCATGTGTTATGTGATGCTTGTATTCCGCCCAGATATTCTTCTTTGTATCGTGTCCCATATATGTCGCAGACACCGGGCTTCGGAATCCCAGCCAACCCTTGGTTTCGACGCATATCCAGTGCCATCCGCCCTGCTCGCCAACATTCTCTCGCAGGCAAATATTTCCTTCCACGAGAGTAATGTATCGACCAGTACCTCGCTCTCGGATGGCGAACGTTTGGCCAGGGAATGGCGGGGTGTCTTTTGCCTCTATTTTTTGTATTGAGCATGAGTAGGAATGCTCTGTTTGATCGGTACTGGACATTGTATGTGTTGGTGTTACCATGCCAAAATCTAACGTGGATTGATAGTATTCAGATTCGGGAGCGGAGCAAAAATCGGAATGCGTGGAAGACATTGATCTGGACTTTTGTGGTATTCCTAGGTGTGGAAGGAGGGAAGAGATGTTTAATATTGTATAAGTGGGCGTAGTCATAAATCAGATAAGAGGTACTTGGGTATTTAGATGATCAAATCGAACCCGAAGAAGAATACAGGTATCGAATAGAAATATCTAGTAGGTTTTGTTTGATCTCCAACTGCTGGCAGGTGATATATGCCACCTGGTTGGTCACCTGGCAACGGGACTGGTTAGGGCCATGATGTATGTTATTTGAGTAGGGCAGCATTATGGCCGGCTACCCTCACATTTACGGTTTGCAAATTGGAGACCAAGCCAACAGTAAACGTTCTTATCTAGAATTGAGAACCGGATGTACCTTTTCTAATGTAACAGGAAAATCACGATTAATATGGCATAAACAGGATGATCTTTCCCCTACGATATTTCCATCCGCAACTACGATTTGAGATTTAATCTCCGGATTTCTCCAAATGTGATAGGTCGAAAGAAGCCTAGAGTTGCCAGAGTTCCAACAAATTTATAATTTAGCAACTTTTTAAGTGTTGACGTCCATGGATTAGGAAGGATTCATCTAGCGACGTAGGCAAATATTATTTGCAACTCTTTGAGCGGTTTTTATGCGACAGTACAGTACCTAATTACCTATCTATGTAGGTACCTAAGTAGCTATAAAGTCGAATTAAAAATGCCTATCAAAGATTAAAGTCTTGTTTGGCTAAGAGGATAGACCAAATATTATTTAACTTACTTTACCATCTATTCGATTCTAAAAATAGAGAGATATACATATGGTGTGGTTTACTTCCGTTATCCTTTCCCTCTATGATATAGGTACTGTTGGGATAACGGTCACGTGACCTCGTCACATGACCAGGGTTATGCCCACACACACCGCCCACGCACAGCCCACGCATCTGTACAATAGATATCTTTCCCCACTCGGGGGAACCCCTCCTCTCTTACCTTAGTACAACCAATCAGAACACGATCGTTATTTGCATTCCCTTTCATATTATTACGTAATACATAGTCAATCCAACAGGTACCTAGGTAGTAAAATCATATTCAGTTTTTATTCACAACCCTCAACAACCTATTCTTAACCTAAGATCCTCAAACTCCCACCATCTTATAAATATTTAAGGAATAAAGGTAGTTTTCTCTCGATTTTAAAATTGATTACAGAGAAGATTAATTTTTTGTAAAGTTATTATTAGGTCACAGTTAAACTTCGCGCAGCTTCAGTTCCTGCAATCCTGCCGAATACGGCACACTCGAGCAGTGATGAGCCACCAAGCCTATTAGCTCCGTGGATGCCTCCAGTAATCTCGCCCGCGGCCCAGATTCCCGGTATTGGCGCTGATTTGCCTTCATCTGCCAACCGGAGAACTCTGGACTTCGTATCAAACGCCACTCCACCCATCGTGAAGTGAACCACAGGCGTCACTGTCCCGACGCATACCTCTTCTTCGCGATTAGCTTCACCAGGAGGCAATTTCCAACGTCCAAACGACTTCCTCCCAAATGGATCCTCTTGATGTTTTGAGACCATGGTTGCGTACTTGTCTATCGACGCGACGATTTCCGGCGCGAGGTCTTTGACTTTGATTTTCTGTACCAGGCCCTTCCAAAGGTAAAACTTAATGTGAGATGCTGCAGCCTCGCACGCCCCTGGATCTAGAAGGAGAATTACTTCCCAGTGTCTCATCGACTTGTCCGTTGATTGCGGAAGAGCCATGATTGCGCTGCTAACGATATCACGGGTATTTAGCTCGTCAACGAACCGTTCTCCATAACTAGAAAGCAGAATACCGCCTTCGCCTCGAAGAGCTTCAGCGGCTAAGAATAGTTGTGATGTACTAGTGGGTTTAGGGTCTGCGGGCTTATGAGAAGGACCATCATTCTTAGGAGGGACGACACTGTACGAAATACCCGTGCCCTTTGGAAAAACGAAGCCTGTTGGATGAATCTGTACGCTGTCCATGTCCACGAGTGCGGCTCCGATTGAGGAGAGCAAGTCGTGCGAGGCGGGTCGTTCCTCGTTTGTGGACGGCATGCCCGCTAGGTCGGGACGATATTTGGCCAACAGGCCGTGTGCATCACCAGCAAATCCGCCCGCTGCGAAGACGACCGGGCCTTCAAGCTTGTGTTTCTGGCCGTCGGACGTATGATAGCTCACCCCCTTAACCGCGCCACCATCATCAGTGAGCAATTCGTCCACTTCTGCGGAGTTCTCTAACGTAAAGTCGGCGTTGGCCTTCATTTTGTTCAATAGCGCGGAAACGATGGCTGCACCCGGGGGTAGTTCTCCGCCACCACGGTGAGTTCTCGGGACTGAGTGGCCCCCAAGCTGTGCCACGACACTTAAATCGACCTTCAATTCGTCCGCAAGCCAGTTCACTGCACTCTCGGACTGGCTAATTAGTGTCTCGACTAAAGCCTTACGATCTATGCCCGGAGGGTTGTTCTCGGCAAATCTACTCCCAGCAGAACGCACTGTATCTGCGTAGAAACTGTCGTCTGTGAGAATATTCAGTTCTCGCTGAAACCTCGTACCTGCGCCGTTGATACCCGACGAGGCCTTGATACTATTCCCGCCCGGCCTAGGTGCGCGGTCAAGCAAGCGGACAGCGACACCCGCCCGAAGCGCTTCATGAGCAGCGGACAGGCCCGCAAGGCCGGAGCCAACGACAATTACGGGCTTCCCTGCTACGGCCGGCATTGTCGTGAATGGGTATTTAGATAATCTGTAGAAAACAACTCCGGAATTAGGTCGAAAGAAGACCATACATAAGATGGCAGTGAGAAAGCCAATGAGGAAATATATTAATAGTAGACAACAACGGCTTCGTCTTACTCGTATGGGCATGTTTAGATGAAACCAAGTTTAGGATTAGACCATTGATCGATGGGTCATTTTTATTGCATCAGGTATTCGAGTAGGACTACTAAGTCAGCGCTGGCGCGGATGACTGACATCGTCGTATGATAGCTGACGATAACTTATCGTACGATATGTGGGATGAGAAGGAGCGCCACATCTTGTCCGTCGTTAGTTTCCGGCTGCCCATAGCGAATTATGAGGGCCGCGCAATATGGCATAGTAGGTCACGGACTCGGACAATAAGCCCGAATATCATCGGGTCGAAATGGTTTGCAAAATGCCGCATCCCGGGGTTTTAATACGGTATTCTTGCTACAGGTTTGGTCCACCCGACCGGGGCGGGGCAGGAGTGAATCAATCACCTCTCAGTCCTATGCGTCGGTCCTTTATTTCTCTACTAAATCTCACCTGCTTCATACGGCCATAAAATCGGGGAAATGAAAGTTAATTGAAATTGTCAAGAACTTTTTATTTTTTATTTTTTTATTTTTTTCGCTTTGTAGAAACTGTGTAAACTTAATGGGTCTTAGTGGGAAAACGTAGGACTGACGCATAATAAGAATAGTAGATAAGTGTACTATTTACCTTTTATTATATTTGTCTCCGAAGTATTCTATATTCCTACCAGTTTAACCAATTCGCAGATAGGCTATAGAAGATTGATCTTAACTTTAATAGTTGGAAAAGAAGCGATGGAACTATTGGCTCCGCTACTAATCCCTGTTCACGTAACTTTAGGTACCGACATACCTCTTGTAGCCAAGTGGCTAGTGTGCATACCTAATTCAACGATGGCTTCTCCCCATCGTTTTCCAGTACTCGGCTATGTTCTCTTTTCGATATATTTTATCAAATCATTGTTTATATAGCTCCGTAACTAGCCTTGGGTTAGATACTCGTACTCAACACATCATGGCATGGATAATCCGTCGCGCCTGGGATTTCTCGCCTAGACTACATGTAGCAATACCCCGGGGTCAAGCAAGGAAGTTTATCGTCGTGACAGTCCATCGACAGGGCTGCTCGGGCAAGTCTCTCACGAAGCATAACCCACATCCAAAGTAATCCATAAAATACGGGCTGATAATTGCTTGGGCTCCTAGACCTATTGTCGATGTAACCTCGAATACGAGATCGTTATAGCTTGGCAAAATGCTATTGTACTTATTGAATGGCGATGGATATAAAGTCGCGTTTTTCACCCCCATAACACCGCACCTCGAGTTTGAGGCACACATCTTTTCGTGTGTAAACCCGCCGACGACAATATGCGTGTAGGACACTCCCTACTACCGTTGCTGTTCGCCGCTTCCGGCGGCGCGCAGAGCGCTGAATTCATCTCACGCCGTGACCTCAATGGCACTTCGAAGATCGGCGAAAGTGCTACTCCGAGGCGGTTCATCGTCGAATTGAAGTCGCGTGCGCATAGAGCCCACATCTCGGCTAAGGTTACGGGACTCCCCGGGCTCCGCGTCGTGAAGGAGTTCGATTCGGATCTCTTCCCGGGCCTAAGCATCGAGTGCGAGAGCCACTGCAGCGCCGAGTCGCTCACAGGCGCTCTTGACGCAGATGAGGATGGCTCTGTCGTAGCATCGGTTTACAGATCAACCATCGTGCGTCTCTTGCCACAGGCGATCGAAGGCGAGTCGTTCAGCAACGATGCGGCCGCTGCCAATTACTCTGTACATGGCTCGACAGGTGTCGAGAAGCTACATCAAGCCGGAATCATTGGCGAGGGTGCGATAATTGCCCTAGTTGATAGCGGCGTCCAATATACCCATCCTGCGGTAAAGTTACCCGCCCGAAATTTGCCTACTCAGTCAAATAGACAAGTTTCCACATTCGCTAATAAGGACGCGTTTATAGCTCGGTGGAGGTATTGGCCCCAACTATACAGTAATTGGCGGTTATGACCTTGTCGGCAGCGGTTTGTCTCTACTCCTAATTTATTGTTATATAGCCACGCATGTGAGGCTGACTTGTATTCGTTTTATCAGCATGGCCTGATGCACCAGCCGAACCCGACAACGATCCGATGGACCAATATGGTCATGGCACGCACGTCGCAGGAATCATCGCGGGGAAGAGTGACCAGTAAGCCGCTCTTCTGATATGGTTGCATCGCCCCCGTATAAATACTGACACGAGATAGATTTGTTGGTGTTGCTCCAGGTGCCAAATTGCTCTCCTTCAAGGTATTCGGAAGCAGTGGCTATTCAAACGAAGAGACAGTTATCGAAGGGTTTCTCAAAGCCTTCGACTCGGGGGTAAGTGGATTGGACCTTCATCCCCTATTAAGACGTCGAAAGGCTGCTTATGTTCAACCCACCGCTAATTGTACTCTAGGCTGATATCATTAGCGCAAGTCTCGGAGAGAATAGCGGCTTCACCTCTAACGCTTGGGCCGTACTGGCTTCGAGGATGGTCGAGCAAGGCGTAGTTATTTCTATTGCTACAGGAAATGACGGCGAAAATGGCCCATTTGATGCCAGCAATGGCGCGTCGGGAAAAAACGTCCTTACCGTAGGAGCTGCTGAACCCGGGGCATTCCCCGCCCAGGCTTTTTCGGCGGACTTTAAAGCGGACGGCCAGTCAAACGAGACCCAAATTGCTTACATACCCTCGTCCGACTTTTTCCCTAATACCATCCTCGGCTGGCCTATCAAACCGGTGTCGCTTAACTCGTCCGTAGAGAACGATGCTTGTAGCCCACTGCCGGCTAACACCACCAGCTTCAATGGAACTATCGTCCTAGCCAGAGTTGGAGGGTGCGACATTTCCGTCAAGCATACCAACATTGCAGCCTTCGGTGCACAATACATCTTATTCTATAATGATGACAGACCCTCCCAAACGTTATATACCAACAATACCACCGGCCTCATAGCAGCCATAGAGGCCCGCTCGGGTCAGGCAATCGTCGAAGCAGTCGCCGCAGGTGTCGAGGTTACGGCGTCGTTTGACGTCGATACCGCCCACTACGTCGGCCTTTACAATTCAGGTGGTGGCCGTCCAGCGCGATACACGTCCTGGGGAGGAACATACGATCTTGCGCTCAAGCCAGATGTTGTCGCCCCGGGTACCAAGATCCTTTCTACTTATCCAACCGATAAGTACCAAGTACTAAGCGGCTCAAGCATGGCCACTCCATACATTGCTGGCGTAGCCGCGCTGTGGGTAGGCAAATTTGGTGGACGAGCTGCTCATGCAGATGATCCTACATGGGCCAAGCGACTTACCGCCAGAATCATGGGCACCGCACGCGCTGTGCCCTGGGCCGACTGGTCTACAAGTACTACCGACTACGGGTTCTGGGCGCCTACTGCACAAGTCGGCGCTGGGTTTGTTGACGCCGAGCGCGTGTTGGGATATTCTACAGAGCTCGGGTTCGAGGGCCGCAAATTCGAGCTTAACGATACAGCTTACTTTGCCGGTACGCACTCGGTCGACATCACCAACTACGGGGACAAGCCTATCACGTACACTTTCTCGCTACAGGATGCCGGCGGTTACGATTCGTGGAACACGATTGTACCGGGCCACCCACAGTCGTTTATTCCTGGGATGAAACTCTACCCGGAGGTAAACCCAGTAAAGATGACCCCTAAGGTTTCGTTCCCTGAGGGGGACTTCACTGTTGCTCCTGGCGAGAAGAAAACAGCCGAGTACGAACTCTCCTCTCACGTCCCCAAGGCGATAAAAATGGACATTATCATGCTAATATTCTTGTAGGTTTATTTTCACTGCCCCGGAAGGACTCAACGCTAGCAGCCTACCCGTTTACAGCGGCAAGGTCTTAATAAGCGGCGATAATGGCGAGCAACTTGGCGTTCCTTACTTTGGTAAGTATTTATGCGCAGCTCATATCAACATTGGCCTGGGATACTGTTTTATCTAACTATCAAGGCAGGTGTTGCTTGCGACCTCAACCAAACCATTACCAATATTTGGGACTACGGTAGTAACTTCCCCTTGCTGACATCTGGGGTCACAGAAAATAGAATCCAACAGAAGTCCAAGTAAGCTCCCAACCCTTTGTGCTGGATATTTTTAGTATAAAAATATTAATCTGCCAATTAGCTTTACCTTCAACCTATCCCGTGATGCGCAAGACTTCCCTAAGCTTAATACTCAGTTCGCCTGGGGTACGGAAGAGTTACGTTGGGATGTAAGTTTACACCCTGCACATTACATAAATATCGTTCAACTGACTCTCCGTCAACCTAGATCTTCGACGAAGATTATACCGAATCCGACTGGACGTACCCACCTCAAATCGGCAAGAATAAGTATGTCGGATCGGCCACAAGTTGGAACGGCACGGGGAACTCTCAGTGGTTCACGCCAGGCCAAGACAGCGAGGATGATATCTTTTCTTTCCCGCTATACGATCAGCCGCGCAGCAAACGGGGAATATACTACTGGCTGGGGCGATTTGCCAACGGGTCGAGTATTCAGGCTGGATCTTACACATTCCGCATCGCTACCCTGAGACCATTTGGTGATCCTCAAGTATCGTATGATTGGGATATTTGGCAGACGCCAAAGGTCACAGTCCTACCACTAGCGAAGACAAATACATCGACTTCAAGATAGCCCATTTCTTATATAGTTTACGCGAGGAATATCTGAGAGGAGTCCGATATCGACAAAATAAGATAACGATGTCAAAAATAATGAATTGCATTAGGAGAGGTAGCTGTGGACTTGATGGACTTGATTAAAATTCTCATGCAAACGTATAACCACCTAACTAAGATTAAAACATGGGTTTAGGCCTCATGTTAATTACACATGTTGGGTGGGAGAGTTGTATAGAAAAATATAAAAAAGGAAGAGAAAAACAGAACAGCGTTCATTGAATCTCTCGATCGGGGAATTGAACCCCGGCCACCTGCGAATTTAATGACAAGCAGGTATCCTAACCACTAGACGAATCGAGACGAGATGAGAGTCGCCTGCGGTAGAATGATTTATACGATAAGAATGTATTATTTGTGGGTCCATTGTATACAACGCTAAGCTATTCTGAGTGCTTTACTGCTCGTGCGATACGGCAGCAATTGACTTCGGTAGTAGGAATATTACCAACGAAGTCTTTTTTCCTCCTTTTCGCAATGAGTCGTTCCTTTTTTTTTTTTTTGTATCACATACATCTAAGCCACGTTTTATACGATTAGCTTTCAGGTATTAAAACGTAGTTTGGAGTTTGGGATAATCCTGAGCACGAACGTGCAAGTCCCCGAAGATGGCCGCCGAGTCGTCGCCCGGTAGGCTCTCCATGCGGTGTGTGTGTCTTCATCTTCTAGCTTTTCTAGTTCCTCTACGGGGTCCTCTTGACCGTCTTTCCGACCCTTCTGCGGCTCAGTGGCCTTTTGAATACCGCTCGATTCGCCAATTAGCAAAACTTGAGTGTCTACATAGTCGAGATGCTTAGGCTGCGTAGCGATCCATCGTAGGGCGCGGAATCGATCTTGCAACCTATGGCGCAAAATTTTAGCTGACAGCCAATCTAAGTTAACAAAATTTTATGAGGACTTACTCCTTTGAGTATTCGGAAGCTCGGGGGAGGGCAGTGCCCTTCGGAGGCTCATACTGAGGATTTCTGGTGCTTATAATGAAGCTTCCTTTCTCCATTAGTCCAATTTCCTTCTGCACCTCACCAAGATCATCCGGTAAAGTTACCATGTAAGCGAGATGGGATTCCCGGCCGGTACTCGTAATTGCGTATATGCCTTCCGCTACGGGGGTAGCTGCAGGCGTGTGTCGAACACCGGCCGTCTTAGTGTTGTAGTCCGACGCAGATATGAATTCATCCTTTAACGTCTCAAAAGAGGTATGTGACTTCTCGACGAACGCGATCCACCTATCCTTACCGCTCAAGGGCAATACCTTCTTTGGAATAGCGATCAAGCGACTATTCCCAGCGTCGTCGATCGTGCCTTCGCCAAGCTTGGCGTCCTTAGCTAGAGGGCGCAGGATGATGTAACTGCGGCGAATGTCACCAATGCTGCTAGGCTCGTCGATACCTACCCTGCCGCGGATGAAGAAGTATACGATACCCTTCTCCAAGATGTTGGACGGGACGACTCCTTCTCTCGCCCCTACTTGCTCGGCCGAGCCCCTTTGACCCATTTCTTCTTGGATGGCCTCATTTTTACCATCTATATTATTCTCATTAGCTGGTGGCTGGCTTGTACCGCCGCCGTACGCTTCAGCGGGACTGACTAGGTTAGTTAATTATCAATAGCATACAAGACTGTGCTATAGAAGTACCTTGGAATGGTATCTCTATGGTTTGCTGTTTCTTGTCGCCAACATTTTTAGTGCGTTTAGATCCTGGCAATGCCTTCGTATTTAGTTGGTGCTTGGAGCCAACCCCAGCTCCGTTTTTGTTCTTCGAAGTCGGCTCAACTTTGGCACCGGATCTAGTGGTGGTCATATTGAAAATTCGTGATTGCTGTTAGGAATTGAAAATGGTACGGAGAGAATGTGAGGAGCTTGGACCTTGGTCTCGACGATGATCTAATTGACTGTAAGATAGGTTGGCGATTATATAAATAAGGAATTAGTGTGCTTGAATGTTAGATATAGCTTGACAAGTCTTGCCAGTAACTTGGATCACTTTGATGTCATTAATCTGATTTAAAGGCTGTTTTATTTCAAAGACGTACGGGGAGCTTGGGCCATATTCATAATGACAGCTATTTTCCTCTTTGGGGAAGTGAGGTCATATTAGTACGCATCGGCGATCACAACTCTAGACATAGAATGGTTATACGTTATTCGGGATTTAACACGGTTACATCTGATGGATTATATTGGAGATCCTGATTATACTCGATTGTAATTTGGAAATTTTAACATAATGTTCTATAGTTCATTTGAGGAATCATTATGTTATTTCTCACTGGTTAAAAATGTGATCGGGGGCATACCTACACGTCATAGCTGACGGGGATATTATGTGATCGACAAGCTAGTATGATACAAGTTAGATCCAATAAAGAAACTTCAATTGCTTCTATCACTTCCACGACGACCTCTGCTGCCTCAACATCTACTCAAGATGGCGGTTCCTCGTCTGACAGCATTGGCGAACTCTTCAAGGCGAAGGGCAAGCTTTACTCCAAATCCCAAAATGCCGCCATCATTAGGAAGGACTTTGGGCAACTAACCCCTGAGAATAGCATGAAGTAGGATGCTATCGAACCAACCCGTGGCGGCTTCAACTTCGGTGGTGCCGACGCGCTTGTTAATTTTGCCTTGCAGAACGGCCAAAGCATTCGCGGCCACACGCTCTTCTGGTACCAACAGCTACCGGACTACGCCAAGGCCATCACAGATAAAAAGGAGCTTACCAGCGGCATTGAGAGCCACGTTAGCACCATTGTCGGAAGATACAAGGGCACAAATCGCTCTTGGGTACGTAACAGCCAACTCTGAATACGAAAGGCCAAACATGCTAATACTATTGGTTTCGATTGGTTTAGGATGTTGTAAATGAGATCTTCGATGAGAATGTACTCCCAGTGATGGTGTATTTACCCAAGTCCTAGGTAAAGACTTTGTCCGTATCGCTTTCGAGGCGGCGCACAAGGCGGGCCCAGATGCGAAGCTTTACATTGACGATTTCCATCTCGGGAGCGGAACGTCCGCCAAGACTACCACTGGCATGTTTGAATACGTAAAGAAGTAGCTCGCTACTGGCATCCCGATCAACGGTATTGGTATTTAATGTCACCTCGGTGGCAACCCTAGCGCTAGCGGAATGCAGGTTGGGTTGGAGAAGTTCGCTACGACTGGCGTAAAGGAACTTACCATTACCGAGTTGGATATCGTGAATGCGCCGGTCGATGAGTATGTTAAGGTCGCCAATGCTTGCCTTGCTGTCGAAAAATGTGTTGGAATCACTATATGGGGTGTGAGCGATGCTGTGAGTCTCCTATTCCAAGATATCCGGTGTCATAACTAACTTCTTTTAGGATTCGTGGCAAGCAAAGAGTTCCCCTCTTTTTTGATACTAGCTACCAGCCCAAACCTGCATATGATGCTATCGTTAGGACTCTCGCATAAATAACGTGGGAATATCAGGCAGGCAGTAAAGCATTATACGCTACTCTGATGATGGCGAATAATTCTCACGGGCTTGAGCAGCCCATAATTGCAATAAATAAAGCTATCTAAAGGCTACGGTCTCGACGAGTTACTATGATACTTTTCACTTCCCATTCCTCCAAGTGATGGGTATCAGTGAATGCCTTGAATCCACTTTATTCTTATCATAATCGATTTAAATGTCCAACAGCACCACATCTGCTAATAAATAAAAATGGCCACCCGGATAAGCCTGTTGTCTTGAACGAATCATCATTAATCTTCTTAGACTACCTAATCTAGCAACTCACTGCAACTCACTGAGCAATAACAAAGCCTTGAAGACGAATCAATAGCCCATACATACCTAAGTACCCATTTGATTTAAGCCAGAATTGTTGCCTTCTAACATAATCGCGATTATCCCCTGAATATTATACCTCAACATAACTTTCTTAAAGGGAGACTTTGGCATTCTATCCCTGGGACTGGAATAATAGCATTGATAATGGAACCCATGAACCATTCGTGTCTTACCAGAACTGTGGGGCAAGTAATGTAATTATTATTAATAAAAATTACATTGCGTATTTTGGTTTGGAATATCCAAGACCGCGGGCGACGCATTATACCACTCTGCCTTTCATCTGCTTAAATTTATGTTCGGCGGCGGCCACAATAGCAATCTTTTCGGTTACGGCGAGCGTCTCGCAATGATCGGACTCCAAATCAGTGCCCTTGGGAATAAAACTGTATTGTGCTTGCTGAGGCGCCTATAGTCTCAAGCACTTGACACATGGCTACTAAACCGAGTGGAATACCTGGCATGCGGACTCGATCATCAGCCCGGCGCTCGTAACTAGCAGGGGAACTGAAAACAGCGTTAACTACTTATACCGGTTCGTCACACGTATTAGATAACCGATAACAAACTCCAGGAGCATGAGCCTAAGTTGTAGATATTATCGATCCAGTTAGAATCTTTGGTAGATAAACCGAAGACTACATGAAGACGGCTTTGAAAGTAACGCATCAGGGTGTCGAGTTAACTCACGGTTATATCTACCTAGAACATTTGATGACTCCTTTTGAAACAAGGCGATTATAAGACTATTCGACTTGATACTAACTCGTTAGCCACTATTGTGAAAAGGACGTTGAGTAAAGTTCGCGTAATTAGAGGGGTTCACACATACCTACGGGCCTCAACACCTCGACGCGATGAACATAACTGTACGATCCCACCGAAGATGGAACGATACGAACATCACTTTGATGATATACTTTTCTTCAATACAGAAATCGGCAAGCGACTAGCCACCAGTCACGGTCATGGTATTAATCGTAGCTGACTTCCTATCAGTCTGATACGTGGCGAGACTAAGGGGTAATATGATGAACGAGAATCCGGCTACAACAAGAACCATACCGACAACTTGAAATAATTAGTGAAAACCACCATATAATAGGCCTCCAGGCATACCGTCGAACTCAATTGCATAATGCATGCTTTGTGACCGTGTCCAACAGGAGTCACGAACAGCAGCGGGGAACTACTTGCGCGCCTCCTGCAAACGTGGTTGCTAAAACGGAACATACATTACAGCCATTCTCATCAATGCGGTATAATACTTTTGAACCGGCCATCATTGGTATTTCAAGATACATTAGGTTGGGAGAAGAGGTAAGAAGTATACGAGAGCTGCAGTATAAGTTTCGACATTCTGCTCGTAGCTATCAATACAATCCCTATCGTAGCGGAACAGATCATCAAAGAAAACCCTTCTGGTCGACTCTAGGTAGATATTTTCGATATTTTCGATATTCCTTACGTTATGAGCGACTTCCAGAGATATTCGCTACTCATGACAGCGCGAGCCGTAGCATCGATTTTCGGGGGTGCCTAACGTATCCACGAGAGGGTTGGATAGGCTAGAATTAAAAGCCATGATAAAATTGACGATTAGTAGCCCAGGGATGAATTAGTACGTGGATTATTTGATATTCTCGGCTTCTTACAATCAGTTCTCAGTCTTATGCGTCAGTCCCCTATTTCCCCACCAAACTTCACTTATTTTATACCACCATAAAATCTAGTAAATAAAGGCTAATTAAAGAAATATAATATATATATTAAATTTAAATCAATTCTATTGCTGTTGCTTGTTTAGCTATAATTCTTTACATTTTTCTTGCTTTATAAGAGCTGTGTAAATCGAGTGGGCTTTGGTGGGAAAACGCGGGACTGACGCATAAGAATGGTAGATAAGTGTACCATGTCATTGTCATTAATTTCTTAGACTAGGCCTGAGTGACAGCTTCGATACCTCGAACGCCATCTTGGCCTTCCAAATCTGAAACGTGCTTCTCATCAACGTCACCACTACCTCGACCTTCGACGGGCCGAGCCGCGGCCGGCTCATCTAGTCTACATCAGCCGAGTGTGACGATTTCTGAGCTCGAACGTCAGCAGAAGTCTTGAGGCTTGCTTTAGGGGACATCTTCTCGCCCACCTCTGACATAGCAGCTCTAGTCTACCTACTAAATGTCAGACACAATGGTACTTGGAAGACCTTTAGAAATCAAGACTCAGCCGAAAAGAGCCAGGCTTGGAATATAAAAGTCTAGATAATAAGCCTACCTAAGGTAATACAAACGATAGCGGATGCAAAGTTCCCATGTCATAGTATGTGTTACCCTTCATCGATGGGATAATTTGGTAGATAGCTTCCCTAAGGTTGAGTAGGCCCTGCAATGTCGATATGCCCGAGATGAAATATTATTGGCAAGCTATTACATGGGTAGTTGATCTGATAAAATAGGATAACGGGGGACCCCTAGTAGCTTGGTGACTAAATATTTATCTGATCTCGTTTATGCCGATGAGGATAAGCCGGCTGTCGGTACAGGACCTTGGCTGGTAGAGGCGCGTTGCATTTATTCTGGAATTATTGCTGGAGAGACGGTAGGAAGCATAGCTTGAAGGTGTTACATATGGGTACGGGTGCTTGTATGAATCTGCAAGGGGCGATTCACTTCAGAATGAATCCCGCTAAATGAATTTCAATCTGTACACCCCCACTTCGTGATAGGTGCATAATTAAAATCCATATTGTATGCTTTGTTATCGTAGCTCCTTCTCGTCACATTCCAACTTCAGCTCCGGCCTTTTCAATTCGACATCTCAATCTAGCTATTACTCGCGCCACCTCAATCAAGATGTCTAGGAAACCGGTTAAAGGCGAGTACATCGAAACCGTAAGATAGCTCCCCATTATAAGTAGTATAATAATACTTAATTAACATTTCTACCTACGATAGGATACGGGGAACAAGGTCTCGAGGAAGGCCATCCTAATCGGAACCCAACACATAATGTTAGGCGGCAAGACGATCATCCAGGCCGAAGCCATGATTCGCGGCGATTTAGCGAGGACCGGGCAAGCTGTATCAGGCTCAGGTACCGCTCCTGGTAGCAATACGGCCGTAGCTATCGGTCGCTACTGTTATCTGAGCAAAGGATGCTGTTTGCGCCCTCCGGGTCGCATATACAAAGGGTCAGTCGCGCATAATTTAGAAGAGCATAGCTTACACGAGCCCCCTGTATTTTCGAATCTTACGTGCTAACTATCTATATCTTTCACCTCGCAGATCCTTCACCTTCCTCCCTCTCCGATTGGGCGATCACGTTTTTATCGGCGAGGGCACCGTCGTCCAAGCAGCAACCGTCGGCAGCCACGTCTACATCGGCCAGAACGTCGTCGTCGGCGAATTTTCTATCATTAAAGACTACGTCCGTGTCCTAGAAGGTACCGTTATACCTCCCAATATGGTCATACCGAGTTTTAGCATCGTTGCCGGCCAACCAGCCCGAGTTATCGGCGAGGTGCCCGAAGGCGGTCACGAGGCATTCGAGCTCCGAGAGCTGTACAAGACGGTCGGCAATAACCCACAGCCGCTACCCGTCTAATTTGCAATTGCTATTGGTGCGATGTGCGCTCTTATGTCCCTATCCACTGGTTGATTAACCATCACGGTAAGGCCGATCTAGTTATAATAGCGAACCTCGAGACACGTCAAGTCAATCGTCTTCAATGCTAAGCGGTACGTCGCTCTAGTCGCAGATCGACCTCGAATCCATCATATGTCATTTCAGTCCTCTGACCTAAAGGTAACATCTAGTTGAAACGTATGCGCTCCTTGGGCACATTGTGTAGGGGGAATTCGCCATATTCCATGGCTTACATTAGACGCTACTCTCAATACAATCCTGAACCCCTCCTTTCACTAACGAGGGGGCTTAGTGGGTTAGATATGAGATATGAGGACTAACAAATACCTGCATCGCGCTATCATGGGTAAACAAGGTGCTGGATTTATTCGGGTGAGTTGCGAATGAGGTTAATGCCAAGTATCGCAGCTAAGACTAGAAACGCTTAGGAGACCTAGAAGACATTTGTTGAGGTCGTCATCTGTTCATGAATATTGATATCGGCCGTGGGAGACACTTAGCGTAACGGCTCTGCCTCAATACCAAGTGTCTTCAAGAAGGTTTCAAGTATATTTATGTCTATTACCTAGTACTGATAGTCATATAATATAAACTTTTAGAGGCTTAACTCGGAAAAATATAAGAATTATCAACAGCTGCATACATGTGCTAGGACGAAAATTACAGGCTTTGATGGGTCTCCAGAAAAGTCAAGATACATCAAAGCTATTTTCAAGGGGCGGTTTTGTTTATACGCTTCCTCCTTATAATGTCTGGGAGTCACAGTTCTACTCCGATAGCCGAACAATAGTTAAGTCGGGAGCTTTTTAAATTCCATCCATCTATAGAGTTGTACATGACACAGTACACCTTGGCTATCCCTATTTCACATGACTAGGTTCTAGACACTGGCATCGGTACTCCGCAGGCGTGGAACAAAAACTACATATAAAGATTGCGAAGGGGTTAAGCATGAGATTCATCTTTTTATTTCTAGGCTCTAGTTATATGAGGTAACTCGTTGCAACACTTCTATGAAGTCCTCATGGCTATTAGACGGCGGGTGATAAAATCAAGTGCTAACTATTTTTTAAAACAAGACAACATGACGCAAATATTTGCCCCAAACCTAACTGTTGACCATATCATATGAGTTGTTTCTTCAACATAAAGTCTATGTCAACAATATAGTACGTAGTTGCTTGGTACGGGATTGTGCTACTTTGGAAAAACTCGCTGTTTTATTTCTCAGTACAATCCATAATTTCCACAGTATTTGACATCCGGTCGCGTGCCACGCTACCAAGTGCCAAGTCTCCAGTATCAGCAGAAAGTCCCAGCAATCGTCTCTTCCAAAAGTGCCACCGTTTGATACTCAGCGGCTCTTGAGTGTCGCAAAGAGGGCCCGTCATAAATGCACGAGCTGTGCTGTCATCTAATTGCTCTATGGAGTTCATCTCTTCGAATAGCACAGCTGCACAATTTATGATCCATTCAGTTGCCACCCATACCCGACATTCCATCGCACCGCCTGCCACGGGTGGCTTCTCGAGTGCCATGGTAAGCTGCCAGATAGGGAAAACGAGCCAAGGGGCAAAGTCCGTACTTGTGATCCGAGCCACAAAAGAGTTCAAGTTTTTCCACTTGGTGAATTCTTCGGGCAGCTCTTCACCCGTTTCTGTCGGGTCTAAAGTGGTATCAGCACAATCCCCTTTAACTCGCGTAAAGCATTTATATCAGTACCATTCCAATTCTCTCTCAAGCGCATCGTTAAGTCTGGAAGGTCTTTCCACATATATGCCTGTTCGTTCAAACTTTGTTAGCGCGATCTATAGTTATGCCCACGATAGTCATATCTCACTCCATGCTTAGGGACGTGACCCTCTCGGCGGCGGAGACTTCCAAGGCATCGAACTAGGACGTCTTGCCAGGGGTGGTCCGGTGAAATATATTGGACCATCTCGATAACTACAGACCAGATTTCCCAGAGATGTCTACCAGAAGCTGTATTTTCCTGCTGAGAGTTGCAAAAGAACTGAATATCGCTACATAACTTGGTAACATTTAACTGCGAATCGGCCGGGTACTGAAGGGTGGCTTGGAGAACGTTCAGCATAGCTCGTTCGCAAGAAGTCAGGTGTGGTTCAGCGAATTGAAAATCTACGTCCATTTCGGTAAGTAAATTGTGAACTGTTAATGGGATATGGGGAAATAATTCTTGGAAAATGATTTGGGATGGAACTTTCGAAGGGTGCAAAAATGTAGGCTGTGATCTCTTAAGTTGGTGGGACTAGGTAATACTTAAGAGATGTATTATTAAATGTGATGCAACAGTTGAATAGATACTCGAGTCCTTATGTTTCGGCGGCAATGAAACAACGACAACATCAGCTACTAACCGACGTCCTCAATATATAACTAGGGGTTGGTCTCGGGCGCAACGAAAATTCATTATTATCAGATTAGTCAGCCATGTCAGGTAACCTGAAAATCCCTAGTCTCATGTAAAATAGCGATATAATACGCATTTCCATAATTTTACCTTAATAAATCAAATTATTAAAAATATAATAAATTAAACCTTAAATAATGCTTTTTTAATATGTATTAATTATATAATAATTAAGAGTTTTATACGTTTAAACCGTATAAGTTTTAAAGATAAAATCTTAATTAATATTATATAATATAATATATACGCGTTAAAATAAATTTTAAACAAATTATTATTTATTTATTATTTTATTATAAATTTTACTATATTATTATTAAATTTTAAACTTAAATATTTTAATAATTAAAATATATTAAATAAAATATTTATATTATTTATTTAAAATTATTAATTTTAAAAATAAATAAACTTTAATAATATTAATATATACGGGGAATGTTGGGATAACAGTCACATGACCTCGTCACATGACCAGGGTTATGCCCACACACACCGCCCACGCACAACCCACGCATTTGTACAATAAATATCTTTCCCCACTCGAGGGAACCTTTTTTTTCTTACCTTAAAACAATTAATCAAAACATGATCGTTATTTGCATTCCCTTTCATATTATTACGTAATACATAGTCAATCCAACAGGGAATTTAAGATTTAATTCAAATTTTTTTCTTAAATATTGAACAAGACTTAGACGTCTTGGCCTTGGATTAAGCCCTATTAGACCTGATATCAAGGACTTTTTAAATGATGACTGATGATGAAGGAAAGGAATGACTTGTATTAAAAGTGGATGATACTATGTAAAATGGGTGTGTGCGACCATAAATGGTACTTATACTAAGAATATGATCACATGATCAGGATCAAGGTCACCTGATACACCAGCACCAGTTTAATATTTTAAATTTAAAATTATAAAAAATTATTTAATTTATTTAAATCTTAATTAAAAATAATAATAAAAATAAAAATTTTATTAAAAAGTTAATTATTAATAATATTAATTTTAAATAAATAATCTTTTTTTTTTAAACAATATAAAAAATAATTAAAACTTTATAAAAATTTTATTTAAAAAAATTAAATGCGTATATATATATTAAAAATAAATATAATTAATAAAAAAATAATTAAATTAAAATAATTAATTATTTAAATTATATTAAAATTTTATTTTAAAATTATATAATAATTTAAATATATAATTTAATATATATATAATATTTTAAAAAATTATATAAATATATATATATTAAAGTATAAAATTTAAAATAATTATATAAAGGTTATAATATTAAATTAATATAATATTACATTGTTAAAAGCAAAGGTATTATTATTATGTAATTTTAAATTATAAGTTATATAAAGGTTTAATATTCGTTATATTCTTTTAATTAATTAATTACGATCATTATTATTTAATTATATATTTAATATAAATACATTCGTTATTTTCTTATATTTATAACTTATAACTTTATTTTACGTATTTATTTTATATTGAACTGGTGTGGTGCCACATCGCCAAGAGTAAGGGTATTATTATGTAATCTTAAGTTACAGGCCATATAAAGGTCTAATATTTGTCGTATTCTTCTAATCAAATAGCCACGATTATTACCATTTAATTATGTATTTAATATAGATATATTTGTTATTTTCTCATATTTATAGTTTATAGCCTTATTTTGTATATTTATCATATATATTCTATCCGATTAGTAGATCTTTATAGTTCTTTCAGAGTATAGTGCTATTATTAGCTGTTTAAGGCCTTTTACAAGGATTTAAACGTTAAAGTAATATGCCATATTCTGCAGGAAATACCAATTCCTATTCAATATTTATTATATATATTTTATTTAATTAATAAATCTTTATAATTTTTTTAAAATATAATATTATTATTAATTATTTAAAGTTTTTTACGAAGATTTAAACGTTAAAATAATATGTTATACATTATAAGAAATATTAATTTTTGTTTATTAAATAAATAATTAATTTATTATTTTTATTAAAGTTAAATGTTTAAAATTAATCATTATTAAAAATCTTTAAAAATAATTTTATGTATTAATATTAACCTTAAAATTTATATTAATAAATTAAATAATTATTTAAAATATTATTTTTTATAAAAAAATATATAATAAAATTTTAATATTTTAAAAAATAATTATAACGTTATAAAAATATATATAAGTTTTCGAAAATGTTAAAAAAAAAGGAAAAATAATTAAAGGTGTTTTTAAATTAATTTATAACATTAATAAAAATAAAAATATTATATTACAATAAATTAAATAAGTAATTAACCGTAAAAATTTAATAATTTCGAATAACCCTGCCAACCCGGTCAACCGGGTCAACCGGGTCAACCCGACCGACCCGTTAGGGTTAGGGTTAGGGTTAGGGTTAGGGTTAGGGTTAGGGTTAGGGTTAGGGTTAGGGTTAGGGTTAGGGTTAGGGTTAGGGTTAGGGTTAG